TTTGTTTGTCTATTTGGATTCTCGTGCGCTTATTTGTTTACTTGCTTGTTTCTGCTCGTATTCAATTTTCTTCATATGAAGAATTTATTGAGTAATGGCCTAACTTCCAATATATGCTTGGCAAGGAAAGGTACTCCCTTCTTTTCATCACAGCTCGCAGCAATTTATCAAGTTTATTAAGGCGCTTTTTTCTTACCTTGGGGGGCTTTTAATCACCAAACTACCAAACACAATCTAATATCTATGCAAATGTACATTTTTATGCTACAGGGTAAAAGAATAGAAATCATTATAGAAAAGTCTACAATCATCAAGCTAGTCTGGAAAGGATTATTACAGTTTAAACACTGCAGTGGAAACTTACGTGATACTCAAACGTCCTAGTTTTTACTTGACATGAATTTAAACAAATCCAGAGTTCAATTAACTGATCCCTTGATCACTTCATTCTTAATCTAAACTAAATTAATGAGCTATGAGATTCATGGCGCTTAAGTCGTTTTTTAAGATGAAAACGGTGAGACTGATACTCGTGACTAACGGATTAACACCTAAATATGGCCCTCAAAATGACGATGTCTCCACAAAGAAAGAATGTCGAAAGCAAGAATGGGATCTATGAGGGAGGAATGTCAAAACTCTGAAAGCTCTTTTCAAGCCTCTTCAGTAAACAATTTAAGAAATAAAGCAATTTCTGAATGAGTAAGTGACTTGACACATTTTTAAGTTTCAAAAAACTTAATACACCTTACTCATACATGGACATAACGCGTTTGCACTGTGCGAACAGTCACCCGTAGACTCTTCTTTCCCAAAAGGATTACGCCATTGCACTTCGCCTAGAGTAGTTTTAATTCGTCCAAACTCATCTCAGCATTCTTCCTCTGCGCACAAAAAACCACCTGTAGTCACGATTATCTTCCAAAATTTTGCATGCGTATCTGCTAATATTTGCTATCAACCTCTTTTGTGACAACAATACGTGGCGGTAGATCTGAACACGCTCTTTTAGTTAAAGATGTTCTTTGTCGGTCAACCCGTCCGTCTTTCATGACATGGTCGTCAGCAAATCTGACTTTTCTCCTCTGCATTGGACTAGTTTCGATACCATTGAAAGACCGAGATTTAGCGCGACTTTCCAAGAGGCCCTGTGTGTCTCCCGCGGCAAGTTTCAGTGAAGAATCAGACATACATCTCTTCGGCGGTGAGAAAGGCACCTTCAAGGTCATAGCTGGATTTATCGACTCATACTGGTCATACTGAGGCTGGGCGATGTTAGGAGCACTGTTGCATAATCGATCATCTTGTAGTCTCTTGATGTTGTGGAAAATAAGAGTGAAAGCGTTATCCATCTGTTTGTGGTAATTATGATGTCTTCTAGAATGGCCATTGGACATTTTGTTGGAATTTTTATGATCTTTCATAACGTTAAGTTTATATTTTTGGCTCACTTTTCACGAGGTGAACGTGCAGCTGGTTTGTAATACGACGGGTTACTTTACTGCGGCATACAATGAACCAAACTATAAACCTTCATGTCATATCAAACAATGCAGCTGTAAGCTTACGTCAATTAACAATTTAATTTGTTGGAATCGGCGAGTTGATTATTCTAAGGCTTTGTTTTGTCGCACGGTTCTTGTGATGTTTTTGGCTTACGGGCATCTCCCACCTACATTTTTCGCATAAATGTATCTCATAAATTTCTAATGTTTTTCGTTGCTTTTCTTTTTCCTTTTTGTAATGAAAAATTCCGAGCCCCAGATGGGACTTGAACCCACGACCCTCCGTGTTTCATCTTTTTGTAATGAGAACAGAGAAATCGAAATCAATTAAGTTTAAACGGTTTCTGCCGTCACGCTATAACACGTTCCACTTCAGTCTTGGCAATTAATATTCATGAACGCCCGTGGTTGAGGTATTAGGCCTTATAGTGCCTTATACTGCATTCGCTCTGACGAAGGGTTAACGCTCGAAACGTCAGCTTTTTACTCTTTACGGTGGCCAATTTACAATTTCAACTTAGTTGATATTACCAAATTACCTTGTTACCCCCACCGACGCAGCACCGCAGTTTCTTTAGAAACTTACCCCTCTTATACTCTGCTTCGTCATGTTTGATATCAATGGCACATGTTAAGACTTAAAAACATGATCCGATAGGATATCTTTCCACTTGCCAATGACGTCATTAAACGTGACGTAATGATACTATTTTTTGCGCACGAAAAGCTAAGGTAGTGTCTCCCCGTTAATTCAACTTCTAGTATTCTCGAATTTGAACAAGTATTAAAACAAACTGTTTAATTCAGTGTGGGAGATGATGTTCTAAATTATATGAACAGGAAGCATAGTACTCATTTTTAGCGTCGGAATGCACGCAATTTTAGGATTAAGCTCGTTGGAGTCAAACCGCTCATTAAATGTATTTCGTCATTTTTATGTAAACAGAGTGACGCGAATGCTTGTTTTGTGCAGCCATATAATCCCTGCCTCTAAATAACCACCTTGCTTATGTTTCTTCCAGCTCAGAAATCTCCAAGAAGCTTAAACATTGAGAACTTACTTTAAAACAACTGCTTTATCTTCTGTTCACCACGAGAAAACAATTTATAAACTGAATCATTTATGCGATCAAATTGTTTGCAATCCTGTGCACCGTTTCCTTCGTTTATAATTCGTCATTGTTTTTGCTGCTTGACTCAAAGATGACGTTTCAGTAATCGATCTATGTCCGGGTATGACCCTTTCTCGCTGTCCGGTCTTTCGAGGGGTAATCATCGGCAAAGGAAACTTTTCGCTGTTGAGATAATGGAGTACTGTCTTTAGGACGAGTGTTGGACTCGTGATTCGTGTTTCGTCGAAGGACACCCTCAGCCGGTCCATTCAAAGGGTTTGCCGTGGTTCGCAGTCCCCGCAAAGTAGGCGATAAGTCTATTTGATCTACAACGAATGACCCACGACTGGTAGCACGTTCGTGCACCCGCCCATCTTGTAACCTCTTAATGTTGTGGTAAATCAAAATGAATGCTTGCTCCATTTCTCTATCGTATTTGCGTCCATTTCTGAAATTGCGGCCGTTCATGCTTTGAATTTTTTTTAATGGCTTTCCCCCTCTGTAAGTCAGATCTAATATTCTATTTGAGAGATCGAGTTCTTTAAGGCGACAAGTGCAGTTGTCATGCAGTGAGGGATTCACGATCCTTTTTTAGCTAATCATTTGCATGAAGCATACCTTAAGGCTTCCTGAGCTACAAGACAATACTCTCTAATTGAGAATAAGTACGTCAGATGCAAAATGTCAATGAACCACAGCATTTGTGTGGTTACCCGACAACTTATGATTTTGCACTGCTGGCAATGACCTTTTCACCCATTTGAAATGATGTTTGTTTCATTCTTATTGGGAAAGGTTCCGTAAAATCGTCATTAAATCCAAACTCAGGGAGCGTTTTAAGTTGATAGTTCTCCCGCGTTTAACTTAAGCGTTTAACTTAACTTTAGCGATTTTGTTGACATCGAATTCAAAGGCCTCGACACTACATTCTGAGTATCACATTCAAGCAACTTGGTAGGATTTTTTGTCCCCTTTTTGTATATTTGAAAGATTTACATTGAGGGGAAACGGTCTGTTCTCTGAGACCACTAGGTTCTCCTCCATTATTTCCTCACTGTTGCCACGAGGAGAGTTGGGCTAGGAAGGCACCTCCTACTGAGACTTGTCTTTGCCAAAAATCAGACCATTTCTTTACATTTCCGCGCTCCCTAGAACAGAGTTTTGACGACTCAGAAATTTCTTCTCCAGTGAGAGCTTTACCCCACAGGTGAAACTCAGACAGACAAACCACCTGCCTGAGTACAGCTACACTAAGCTTCTATAGTTCCACCTCCCGGTAAGAATCCTTTACTAATCCCTCTTCGGCGTATCTGCCAATTCGGCAGTTTCATCTTGAACGCCATCAACATTCACTTCAGTCACGCCAGTGATGCTGTTCCACGAGAAGAGAAATTTCGTATCTCCGCGCGGCCATGTAATATCCTCTATTTAAGCAACCCGCGATAAAGTATCCCATTCAAAGAAGTTAAAATACGCTTAGTCGCTTCATGGTTCGGAAACGTTAACTGGTATAAGCCCCGGCGGTGTGAAGTATTTGTCTCACGTTTAACTTAACCTAAAAGGCCTGATTTACCGTGCGCAAAAACTGTATTTGGTTTTGTTATTGTATGAAAAGTGATTTAAAAAGTTTTATGTTGTATGTACAAAACTTTTACAGAAACAGAAAAAAAAAAAAAAAAGGAACGACATGAATTCACCAATTTCAATTTAGAATCCAGAAATCTCCATAAATGCTTCCGAAGTGGCTCCTACTTTTCTAGGCAGGTGCGCATAGCTCACTGATAAGTACATAGGTATGTATTTATTTGCGATAATTTGACAGGCTGGTCTAGTTCAGCTTAAAGCTGGTGGTTTGAATGGGGGCCTTTATAAACAGCAATAAGACCAGACCACAACACCTGAAGCTACGTTCCCTAGTCTTTGCAAGAAGTGCGTGGGTTCTTTAAAGTCCCCTGCTGACAAGTAGAGAGAAGGTGGAGGAGACGGAGCCTATTGTTTATCCTCCTTTTCTTATGATGTTACTTCTAGCAATTTGGAAGTGCATCATTTGACATCCTCTTGTTGCTGTTTTTCTTTCTTCATATCTCTTTTCTGCCTGATAGTCCATTGTTGTTGTTTACTTGTTGGTTATTTCTGGTAGTAAAAGGGTTGATGGAGTCCTTAGTTTGTAATTTTCTGACGAATACATGTACTAGCATACCTGCTAATCATAACTGATCTTTAATTTGCAAGTTGAAAATTTGTGATTGTGTTTTGTAAAGGATCATGTCAAAAGCAGGCATGTGTTGACAGTTGATCTGAGTGAAGCTTATTCGGAAATAAGTTACACAGACCAAACCGGCAGCTGAAACAAAAAATGGTTACAGATGAAATTCAGTTCGTCTACAAGGTTAGTAAATGGTAATTTATTGACCGTACATGTAAGTATCCTCAAGATCTTGGATACATTGTTCAAGCCAAATTCTCTCCCACCATCATAGGACTGAGAATTTTCGAGTGATAAAAGAAAGCTTCACCGAAAGTCAAGACTACATGTGTGAAAGCTGTGAGACTTGTAAAACTAAATTGAGATTTCTCCTCTTTTTCTTCGTAAATGTACAACTCGTGAGAAGAGATATTCTACAAAACAAAAAATGTGTGCGCAATCATGATTGACAACAGCGTGAGGGAAGTAATAATTCTTGAAGCGCCGGCAGAAGGCGGGGGCAGCTTCTTGGTTGGGGCACCTGAAAAAAGAAAATAGCAGTCGCGTTAGATCGGCGGGATTTCATTTTCCTCTTTTTTTTTTTTTTTTTTTTTTAATCTAAGTCCCCACGTGTTAATAAACTCGGGACCTTTGGATCACTCCCTCCTCTCTGTTTTCATATCCCCTCTATTAACTATGGCTACAGGAAGCTTAATGCAGCAGGGGAAACGATGGGAGGGATGGGGGGATTGGGGGGGGGGCAAGCTTTAAGTCCTACTCTTAAACCTCACTTATTCTCAGCCACGAAGGAAAATGATTAGGTGAGGTAAATGTTGCTACCAAAAAAAAATATTCTCGCAGCACTTCAGTAACTCACTTGTTGGTTCTAAGACAGTAAATAGCGTCTGCATTCCACCAGTTATGTGAATATTCACATGACAGTGAACCATCCAAGTCCCGACAGCGTCAGGAATCATTTCAACAGTGGCAAACGTTTCTGGTAGCAGGTCGTAGACGTCGCCCCGATGATAAGTTAGCGATTTCTGCAAAATACGTGCAATGGAATAAGTTTACCACTCTTATATTGGCTTATGCAGTCAAACCTCTTCACAACGGCCTCTGTGGGGCCTGAGGGATAGGACCGTTGTATAAAGGAAGGAATTTGTAGATGTAGGATTGTGTTGTGACACTTGTAATTTGAAGAAATGCTTCCCTTAACATAGAGATACGAAGTATGATCAAATGAATCAGTAACAGAATTCTGAAACTGATGATCAGAAGAAAGTTGTCAACCAAACTAAACGAGTTGATCATTCAACTGAAGACGAATGAAGAACTCTTTTGGGAAAAAAAGCTGTCTCTGGTCTTCTGTCTGAACAAGATGTCAAGCATGTATTTTTCTTCTGCGTTCGTCATTAAGGGATTAACTGGGTGTTGTAAAGAAGTCATTTCGGCGGTTCGAACGCACTTTAAGTTTAGCAGTTGCCCTTGTCGTGATGTGAATTTGGAATGTCATTTCTGTTTCTCACCGCCCGCTACAAAGAGACGCCAAAATCAACTGAGGTGTTTGCAGAATGTTCCATTTGGCGCTTGGAAATGGACAAAAATCACTTTTTTTTTCACCATACTCACATGCAAAATGCTCTGGCCGTGAAAATGCACTGTATGCATTTCAGTAAAACCGCCAACTTGTAGGAGATACCAGACAACTTTCTCCCCGCTGTACATTGTCGGTGCCGGAGCGTTTCCAAACAAGTACCCGTTTATGGCGGCTTTTAGGTTGCTTTCCCAAAATTCAAAATTCGCTTTGAGTTCGTCTAAGGGTCCTGGAACTTCAGTTAGATATTTGATATTTTCATCGATGTACCAGTTACTGTTCTCGTCAATCGTAACAAACATCAGTGAAAACTCACGATCAACGTCAATTCTTTTGCCATTTTTATCCAAAGTTCCCTGTACAAATAGTAAAGGGGAGTTATTTGTAAAATTGTATGGACCTGCTGAGACTAGAAATCTTGCATTAACAGCATAATGCATCGATTAGACTAGGTACCTATGGATACCTATGCCGTATCAAGATATCGGGAAAAATATTAGCAGACAAAAAACTGTAGAATTTCGAAGCTAGCCTATAAGCCGACCACTCTTTGTCCAGTTTCGGTTTCCAAAACATACTTTCTCATAAGTATCTGTACTAGCTAAAAGCTTGCAAGATTTTTTTCAAAAATAAGGGGGTCCGTGTTGATAGTGTTATCAGAGACTGAAGCTGATGTGAAAGTGTTAACGCTGGGGCCAAGGTTGTCACAACAGTCGATAAAACAAACGAAAACAAACAAAAATAAGCAAGCTGCCTCAAGTAAAATTCAAAATAACCAAGTTGCCATCAGTTTTCATAATTTGTTTCTCGGATTGACTAAGAGGGTGACGCTAGTCGATCAAAAACTCCTCATTTGCGAACAACGATCGTTTGGTGTCACACCTACCTTCCTACAAATTATCAGCGGTCCTACCAACCCAGTGTTAGTGTCCTTGACTGCATCCACATCAGAAAAGTACGCCCATGTCACGCATGCCGTGTCTGCAGGCCCAGGCCCCGATCTTTCGGACACTTTCCATTTGTAGTTATAAAGTTTTCCAGGAGCAATAGCATTGTCTGCGATATCTGTCACCGTTGTGTTGTCCTTATAGGATGAACCCTCGTCCTGCTTGCTGAGTGGTTACGAAATATGGTTTAGAAGTTTAACCGTCGTTCAATATCAAAACGAACCACTTAATTTTTAAAGGGTCATTAAAGACGACTCTTTCAGGCTACATCGTTTGATTAACGGAAGCAAATTGCTATTGTTGATACTTTTGTCCCTTTTAATCATGCATTATCATTTTTGATTTACTGGCTGAGAAGTATCTTATGTCGTGCCTTCGTAAAGCTTTTCAAGTCTCAGGAATACTGGAAATGGCATTCTAGAGAGAAAAATCGGAAATAAATTTAAGGGGGGAACACCACGGACCCCCCCCCCCCTCCCCCCTTAAAGCTCGAGCGAACGGCACTCCCTTTCCACAGCAATGCTGTTGAAAGTTACTGAGGTGTATAACCGCCCCTTTTTCAGAATTCCTGGATACGCCTCTGATTACGTCACGTAGTTTGATTTTGTTATTGAAGTAGTTTTACCAGCAAAAGATCGGAATTGCAGCTGAACTTATGCTTGAATGTCGCTTTGCCCATATATGGTGTTGATCAAATGAGAGACAGTTGAGAAACGGGGAAACGACGGTTTATTTACTCTGTGTCAAAGCTAGAATTGAGACTAGAAAAGGAAAACGCACTAACATGTTACATTATGTCTCCGGTGTAAAAGAAAAATGAGAAATTCCAATCGTCGAGTAAAAAGCAAGTCATTATAAAAAGTATTTTGATCATCGTTCAAGCCCCAAGGCTAATAACGATAATAATACATTTTCTTCGAAATACTGATAAAACATTCCACATCATGCAAAGGAACTTGCGTGACACATTTCATTTGGCTTTGCACGAACAATGATATGCAGTCTGATTTACGAATGCCGATCTCCGATTTTATGCTGCATGTTAACATCGTATATATATTGGTATTGTAAGTTGTTAATCAAAGATCACCTCTGAAAGTATATTGAGGAAGGAAATATAGGAATTACTCTGTAATTTGCGTTAATAAAACTTCGAGCTAACTAACTTTTGACTTTTTTGCGGGCGATACGACTTTGAGATCGGGCGAAACGCATTTCGGGCGAGACGATCGCATTACATGAATTACATGGGCCTCTCATAACTTAAAAAGGAGGTAAAAGGATGGGGATCAAAAGCTAAAATATACCTGTACAATATTCCGTGAGGATGTATCGAATACGGTCTTGTTGCCAAGTTCTTAAACACAACCTCAATTGTATCTCCTACTTCAGCCTTTATCATTGGTCCCATAATACCCAAATGTTCTTCCTCCTCCGTTCTTGGTTTCTGTTTGGTGAATGAGGCGTCAGTGTACTGTCTGTAGATTGCCTTCTTGTATTTACGGCCGATGAAATGTGGACCCGGTATTGTGTAACGAGGAGCGAACCTTAAGAGAACCGAAAAGAGCAAGATCTGAGACTCCTAAGACCCATGGAAATACTATACAGATATGATCTGCCTAAAGGAGTACCTTTGAAAAGCTAAGATGAATAAAAAGGGTCTTGTAACTGATGTGTAGGAAAGATGAAGGAAAATTTACCATCATCATACTTGGAAGTGTCTATGGGGAAAGGGCAAAACTCGTTCTGATTTTTATAAAGCATTTATTTCATTTTTAATCATGAGGTGTATGAAAAGCATCACTTTTCGGTTAAAAAGTGGTATGTAAAAAGGTTAAGGTCAGGGTGGAACTCAGGAAAAAATCTTCGGAAGAGACAGAGCTGTACACAGGTACACGTCGTTCCTTGAAGAACGGTAAAAGAATGTTTAAAAGTTAATTAGTTCATCTTCCATACTGCCTCTGTGAATCAGCGTTTTTTTTCAGTAAATTTATTGTTTAAACAACACTTTCCAACTCTTTGAATTTAGAAAACGTATCAGAAAAGACTGCGAGTACGTGCCAAATTCTTAATCTATTTTGATACGATTTAGTTAACACTAACTTTTCATCACTTCAAACGATTCCCTTCGTTTCATTGAGTCTTTCCGATACATCTATTTTCAAACTGTTTTCACGCACATGACATCAGTTATGAAAATTTTGCCGGACGGGAAAGGCTTATCTTTAAACAATTGTCGTAAACTACCCCGTGATATGCTCATGTACTCACTCGCTGTCCCTGAGATCAACTCCTTCAATCAAATCTTTTCCAGATGGGGCGTAATCCCATGTTTCTTCGACTGCAGCGATATGATACACCCTCATCTGTCCTCTCACTGCCTTAGTTGCAGACGAATTCCCACAATCCTCTAAAACGGCATACCTAGCAACCATTCCTCCTTGAAGATTGCTGTTCGTGCGACAAATTAGTTTCCACACACCCGGGTTTTCTGGGGTCATTTGTACGCTGTCCAATGATCCTGATGGGATAGAGTGAACTAATTTTAGTGATTTATGTCGGATATGAAAACCAGGAACGTTTCAATACTTGAATGTGATGGAAGTAGTTCTATACCACGATTGGAGCTGAGAATGAGACACTAGACACTAGAACGGTGCTGGAAGATGAGAAAACTCATTCCGGGGTACAGTAAACAGTGTTACTTCTGAAACTGAAGATATATGATATGAAGCCAGTGTGGCTTAAGACACAGGCTTGGCTGGTTTTTCATTTTCCTTGGTTTTGTTGTTTCAGTCATTGTCGTCGTGATGTTGTCATTCAGTCGCCGGCGATTCTCTTTAGGGACATTTTCAAGAATGCACCGCTTTAATATGTTGTACCGTGATCAGTTAATTATTTTATGATAATAGAACTTAACTAGCTCGCTTGTTTTTCCGTTACGGCACCCCCTCTCCCCCCATCCCCATCTTTACCTTCCCAACGATTTGTTGCGCCCGATTATCCGGCCAGTTAGACAGTCTGACATTGCTGTCATAGGGCACGCTTTTCTGCTTCTATTGGTAGGTAGATTTAAAAACTAGGAGGCGACACTTCGACAACCACGAAAGGTTAAAAACAAAGGCGTGTTTTTCCGCGTGCTGTGAGCAAAAACGCTGGCGTTTCCGAGCGATTCCCTGTATCGCCTTTTTTTTTTTTTCCGGGCATCTAAACTTTACTTACCTTCCATCATTCCCAGCGTGTCATGGCTATTCCCATTTTTAGTAAATGTATTTCCATAGAAGTAGACTGAGTGCATTTGACTTGCAGGACCGCCCATGAAATGCCAAGACACATTATCGCCTATGCACATGCGCAGACCAGGTAAATTTCCGAACATGTATCCATTGATATTTCTCATCTGGTTACTCTTTTTGAAGCTGGAGTCATCTTAGAGTGAAGGAGTAAATAAAAAAAATGCGCTGACTAGTATAGCAACTGGAATTATTCGGTTATCTATGCTTACGCTTAGATATCATGTTGACTTTTGCATGGAAACATTAAGACACTAGGGAACAAGAAAATAATTCATTTGACCTCCCAAACTTGAGACGGTGTTCTTCCCCTTCACACGATTATTAGTAACACATACTGGAATAAATTTTCCTCAAAACTCATTTGAACAATGCCAAATCTGGGAAGGGAAGGGAGGAGAAACTTTAAACTGTTGTTGTAAATACTAACTTTCGTCGATGGCCGATCCATTTTCTGCAAGATACTTGTTTTCAGCCAAGTACCAAGACTGTCCTTCGTCTGTCAAGGCAAACCGGAGGAAGAACTCGCGATTGATGTTTCGCTGTTTGCCATTTTGGCTTAAAGTTCCATTTTTGCAAATAAGAAGAGGTCCAACTAGCCCTGTAAACATTATAAAATACATTTTAACCTTGATATATCAAGATAATTTAAGCTTAATATTATTAAATTATCGCTAAAACTCTAATTTCCCTCAGCAAGGAAGGTACGTTTTGAAACTAAAATTGTTGTGATAGAAAAGTTTTACCTTCACAATATTTGTTTCAATTGAAAAATTACAAAGCCCAAAGTACAGTTAAAAAGTTTACGTTGTACCACTCAGCTTTTTCCTTCACCTTTGATGAAAGGTTACACCGCAGTGATACACGTTTAGTTAAATTTCGTCATATACCATCCGTGTAAATATTGTTATTTCTGACCATTACTGTTCTTTTTTATAATTCCTATATCTTCGGTGATTGCTTACCCATGCAAACCGTACCATTTTACCAGTACAGCGTCTCTCTCGTAGAGGGCAGCTCTAGCATAACACTATAAATTGCTCGAAAAACCAGATGACATGGCTTTTGGGGCTTGCACAAAAAGTGCTCCGCGAACATAGTCACCATTTTACATCAAGTGTAATTCAGAAATGAGTACAACTAACTGAAGCAAAATGGACGTCACTATGCATTTAATTTCCTTGAATTTACACCCAGATTTACCAGATGCTGCTTCCGAAGAATAACCTTGCTTTAATTTCACAAAGTCACAGGATGGACTATAAAATTCATTTCTTAAAACTTTTTTTTCTGTAATATAGGTCTAAACTCTATGTACCACTATGTATGTCCTTGGTCGAGTCAACATTTGAGTAATACATCCATGTAAGACACGCAGGGTCATTCTCTGTTGGTGCTACAGAGCTAGGCACTTTCCATGTGTAAAGGTATGTTCCATTTGGAGCTATCGCATTATCAGCAGTTTCATTCCCGGATGTACCGTCATGGTACTGAGATCCTTCGCTAGCTTTGTCGTAAAGTACACCTAAGGGGTGTACAGTATAATTTCGACTTGCCTGCAGAAATAGAGTGTAAGTTTAGTACCACCGAGGTTCAGTTTGAGACGAATTGATGTTTTTAAAAAAAAAATGTTTTTTTTTTCTCAAAGTCATAATTGCAAGGAGCCAATGAAGATTCAAACTATAAAATAAGCAAACTACTTGAAGAAGAATAAAGGGGGTAAGTTTCTAAAGAAACTGTGGTGCTGCGTCGGTAGGAGTTGAATTGATACTGTAAATTGGCCACCGTAAGGAGTTTCAAAGCTGACTTTTCGAGCGTTTGTCCTTCTTCAGAGCGAATACTTGAGGGAGAAGGAAGGTAATCGAGTCTTGTTTAGTTTACCTAGTTTGCATCTGGTGGGTTGAAAGGGTGGTGCCTAATTACAGAGTGCAGTTGAGCAAGACAATGCAAAGTAATCTTTACTTGTATTTACTTTCGACATTCGTTTGATAATTGCTTTACACTTAAACCTACATCTTATGTATCACTTAAGACCGGGCAATAGGAGAGTGAAAAATGTAATTTGTCACTTACAGCCTCCTTAAACACCTAGTTAGTTTAAGCAAAAGTATCTCTACGAAACAAAATTTTGCACTTTTTAGAAGTCTTACATTCGGAAATAGCTACAAGCACATGCCCACCTGATAAGTAAATACATCCCTTGTTTGGTACAGACGTAGCGATAAAAATAAAAATGGTTGCACTTTCCAAACTTTATCGTTCAAGGTCGGCTTTGCACGCTAATGTTGACGACTGTCTAGTAGTCTTGTAATTGTCAACAAAGAAAGATCGCTATCTCCGTACAAGATTTTAGTGGTAAGGTTCATGCTTAAGAGCTTATACATCTACTTCCACTGTTTAACCCGCTTTTAGCTCCGAAGGTCTGACAAGTAATTTTACCATCTGACTAACTACTGTTGATGTCCTCGTAGTCTGATCATTAGTTAACAGAATTTAATGTTCCACCCGTGTTACTGACCAGGCGCGTAGCGTGGTCATTTTTTCAAGTACGCACAAGTACCGTGATATGATCTAGAAACCTAAGTAAAATGAGCGAAAAATATTGCGTTCTTTATTTCTTGTTTGAAATAGTTGTGTGAATACAAGCAAAGAACAGAGCGTCTTGCCCTTATTTTGAGCAAACTTGACGCAAACACAACATTGTTTTCAAATTTTTCTGGTCACTTCAAGTACGCACGTGCGTATATGCGTAGAGGACGCTAGGCGCCTGCTGACTAGATAACAATTTTCACTGAAATTCTAAAAACAAGTAGACCTGTCTCTGAGCTGCGTAATGGATGGCTTTTGTTAAAAGAACCAACAACGGTTATCGCAATTACAGAGAAGCCTTACCGAAAATTAACCTCAATAAAAGTACCTCATATCTCAAGCAATACTGACCTTGTTTTTGAAAACAACCTTGATTTCGTCGCCAACTTCAGCACGGATCACAGGACCAAGGAATCCTAAATGCTCTTCATCAGCTGATCCATTCTTTTTGCTACTAAAAGTATCATCTGTATACTCTACGTACACTGCTTTCTTGTATTGCCCTCCTATTTTGTTACCAGAGCGAGTGAAATACTGGAATGATTCACTGTGAAACAACAGACGAATAGTAAATCAGTATTGCAACGGACTGTGACTTGACATAAAATTATGAAATATGCCGTTTGCATTGTGTAATGAAGATTGTAAATGAACCTCAATCATGAAACCCCGATAAAGCTAATTTTAAGAAATTGCAAACTTCTCCTAGAGCACAATTTAGGAATTACATTTCCAAGACTTCTTGTCTGATTCAAAACAAGTGTCAAGCCTTATGTTTGGACACTTAAGACAGTCAATGTTGAGACTGACCTAAGGTACGTACATGTGCAAACTTGTCGATGAACGAAAAATCCCTTCACGTATAATAAAAGGAATACCTTTTAGGGGAGATTAATGACATTCCATCAATATTATTTTGACCAGACGGCCCGTAACTCCAAAGCACTTCTTCAGCTGCAATGTAATAGATTCTTGTCTTTCCACCATTAACTTTGGGTGGGTCCATTCTCTTACTACAGTTTTTGACATTAAAAAACGCTGCCATCCCATTATCAAAGAACTTGCTGTTCATACAATTTAGCAGCCAAGTTCCCGGATTCAATGCTGTCATGGAAGCTGTAATAAAAGTAGATGGAAGAAGCGTGACTGTGTCTCTACGGTGAGAACTGATTATAACGGTGTGTCCATGGAACGAGGCTGCAAGAGAACAAATTTATTGAATTAATATTCAAAAATTGCGAATCCAAAAGCCAGATAATCCAGCTTAGATGTAAGGTTATGCAAAGCATGTTGTTATCCGGACAATCAGACCTCATGCAAAATGAAAACGTTACATTCGTATGCTTAACTTCAGTTTAGTTTTTGTGTTCTTCGTGATGGGAAAGCAATGCAACAGAAGTACTTTTACAAGAGTCAGTTATTCTTGTCAGAGTTAGAGCAAACTTTTAAACAAACAATTAATCATTTAGCAGTACCAGTCGCCGTTTTGGTCAACATTTGAGCTCGCTTGTTTTTGACTGCTTTTTTGAAGTTCGGTGACTTCGCAAACCAGTCCCCTCCCCTTATGAGGCTCAGTGTCAATAGGTCACTGCCGCATTTGGCGGTAGTGACGGTGGTGCTAATAGAATCACTGTATAAGGATGGTAATATTATTCTTACGATTGTGAACATCGCTCCACGTTCCAAGTCCAATCATATGCCAGCTGATCTTGTCTCCTTGACACATGTCCAGTCCTGGCAAGTTGCCATAGATGTAACCATTAATCGACGCCATTTTGTTGCTGGCTTGAAATTCTGGGTCAGCTTTCAGTGCTTTTGTCGCCGCTGGATCAGCGGAAACGCTGTCAATATTGTCATCCAACAACCAGCTCTCATTCTCGTTCATCTCGGTGAAAAGGAGGACAAATTCATGGTCTACGTTTTTCCTTTGAGCACTGTTTTCCATTAAAGCACCTCGCTTGCAAATCAACAATGGCCCTGTTAAAGCCAATTAACAAGATTCTCCTCACTTTCTCGCAAATGGCCAGTAAATTTGCGGAACATAACTTGCCCCCCTTTTTATTTCAGGCATCGAAAAACCCATTGAGGAATGGACTCCCCCCCACTAACTTTCAACAATTAAGGAATTCTCACATCCGTGGGATGTTACAGCAATGGAATGCACAGTTTCGTTACTCAGTCTGCTAGCTTTCTCTACCGGGAAGCCTTACCGCTATACCTATTAATCCAGTGTTAGTGTCCTTCGGAGAAATCACGTGGGAGTGGTACATTCTGGTGACACAATCCTCGTCTGAATCTGTGGGAGCGTGATGTTCATTTATAAACCAGTTGTATATATGTTCCTGATTAGGCTGGACTTTGTCATCTCTCTTTTGTTCGTCACTGCTGTGGTCAGCGTAAAAGGATCCTTCAGCAGCCTTGCTGTAAAAGAGTCCATGAGGGTGCACGGTGAAGGCCCTGCGAGCCATGTTCTTAAAGTGGACCCTTATTGTGTCACCTACTTCTCCTTTGATGACTGGACCCAGAAAGCCAAGGTGCGGTGGATGTGGTTTCTCTTGACAAAAGTTTTTATCAGTGAACTCTCGATACAGCACCTTCTTGTACTCGGTGGCCAGCCTCTTGACTCCTCGCTGAGTAAAAGGTATTGCATGGCTGCAGAAGAAGAATTCGTCTGGTTCACTAAGCTCGTTCATGTTGCTATGCATTTTAAGGGGGAAACACTCTAAGCGCTGTTCCAATGAAAAACCCAGGTAATGTGCTCGCTATCTGTCTGCTCACAGTCTGTACTCGAGCCAAGGAAACCTCGGCCGCATTTAGTGCAAAGGAATAATATGTTAAGGCGACAGAAATGAACACAACAATCCTTCTTAGCATAGATTTTGCAACAGAAAGCAAAATACAAACGCAACAAACTAAACATTCAGTGACGAGAATTCTTTGATCTAATCTTGACCCGAGAACCGCAGGCGTGAAATCGTCCTAGTCCCAGTCAGCTGAAATCTTCGTATGATGCAAGCGCTTCTCTTTCGTAGAGCTGAACCGTACTCGCAACGTCAATTTCTTTTCTACTATTAGAGTAGGATGTATCACAACCCTCGGCAGAGCTTTCTAAAGGTAGGTATACATCTCTATCGGACATATTTCTAGAGTATTTTAACGCTAACAAATACAAAAGTAGAAGAGATGTGAGAGATTTATTTGTGTCAACAGAGGGTTTTCACAGTTTTCTACGTCATCATCGGCAAACTCGTTACCAGTCTACGGAACCACTTTAAAAATAAGAACACTTTTGATCTCGAAAAAACAGATTTTTAATTCTTTGGAATTTTCTTCATATCGGAACTGGTTTGTACGTATGATAAGCTATATAAATACGCAAAAATAAATTCGTTACGTGTCATGAGGACTTACTCATCACTTTCTTTCACGCATCGACAATTAACTAACTTACAAATTTATTTTTCTTTTCCTGTTTTTCCCTGGCACGGATTCAGATCATGCAAGCAGGCAAAATAAAACTAGCAGTGTGTTAGATTATGTTAGTCTGCGTGATAATACTATTAGCAACCAAACCCCATCAAAGACTGGTTGCGTTTTCATAATCAGTTTAAACTGCAGTTACTTCAAAAACATTACGCTTCACTAATAATAAGTTTTATTTTGCTCACTGCAAATTCTGCTGATGTTTCAATAGTTTTGTTTCTTGAGTCGTCTATAGAAAGATGTGTAGTTGCATAGTTAGGAAATATGTAGTGGACACTTAACTGATCCTTAATAGGTCTCTACAGCGAGCACGATGTGGAAAAACGATCATATCGCGAACAGAGAAGAAGGGGGGGGGGGTCTTTTACAGGTATAAAGCCTAGTACCTTGAGGATAATTATTATCCTTAAACAGGTTGGTCTGAGAGTCGGCAATATTTAAAGGCAAGGAGTGATTAGTGACTTCGACACTCTAATTAAGTCTTCACTAGAGTAAATTTGTTCGATATGGTTGTAACTAGCTTTGCAAGGCACCTTAAATGATTTGAGATTTGCCAAAGATTATTCTGCTTAAGAACAAATGAATAACTGGAATTTAAAACTGAATAGGCTTTCAAGCCCCGACTGTTGACATTTTTTAATCTCTGAACTCAAAAAGTATCACGAGAACTAAAAACTCTTCTTGAAACACTTAAACGATTAAAGTCATAAGCAGCGTGCAGGAACCTCAATTCTCTTGATCACGAAACACACCTCTTAGCGCTTTCAGATCGACTACAGTCCACAATATCAATGTTGGCAAATTGACGTGCGCAAGAGTTAATTCCATAACGTACTAACGTTTTTTTACATTTCACATTTATTACTCCATAATTGAATTTCGCATTACCTGTCGCTTCTAAGCGGAATTCCTTTGATGTTGTTCTGCTTGCCAGGTGCATAGTTCCAGTTTCTTTCCACAGCTGCAATGTAATACTCTCGAGCAGTGGAGCTAACCTCCCTTGGCAGATAAATCCACGAGACAACAAAACTTAACGTGCAAAATAGCAACATTACGACAACACTGGCAACGGCTAACTAGCAAATGTTATTTGTTTGCAAGATTGATAAAACGGCGGCGGTATGCCTACAATTTTATCTAGTGTTGCTAATAGTGCTAATGATTTGATATTTCCACTAATGCTGTTTGTTAAACAGCATATTTTCACGCATGAAGCTCTTTAATCCTTTATTTTTATCGTTAGCGAAACACAGAGGTTCATGATACGGTTCTGTTAACTTTATAGAAAGTTAATTTGAAAGCATGTCGTGAGAAGGGGTCAAATTTCGGTTAAGAGGCTGGGTCGCAAATTTCTTAACTTTCGCAGCCACGAACATAAACTATAATAAAAGATAAATGCTTTTTATTCTTGTCGCTTCGTCATCTATCAAGGTAACTTTAACTACTCCGTGTAAATTATTTAGTTCTCATCTATTCAGCCGTATTTTACACTCTTTTTTCTTCATTAATGAATTAGCATTTCGTAACTCTTAGGACATTTAAACTACATTATACAACTTGGCCCCAAGTTGGATTGTTCTCTAGTTTTTAAATTTTGGTTTACTCGCTTCGGCAGTTCTGCTTTTTCTTGGTTGCCATTAACAAATTCCCCCAGCATCGAAACAAATCTAAGGGCCTGTTCACATGGAGGTACCTGCCTAGCCGCGGTTGCGTTTACATAGAATCTTACAACCCCGAGATCCAAACAGGCAGACTTAAGCGGGTTACCTATCATTTAAATGTGATCTAGATAAAATGAGAGATCAATTGGGCTGGTGGGTTACCCCATAAGTTAAGTTTATGTTCGCTAGTTTCTGTAAGGTAATTTCTTTAGTGTAATTTGTAAGTTTAAATTTATTTAACAGTATACGTTGTGTCAGGTTTTCTGTGCGAATTACATTTCAGTTTGACCGTCTCTTTATTCTTTAGTCCAAGAATATTTTGACGAAACTCTAGAGAAACTAATAGCTTCGAATAAATTAGTTTATATTATGGGCGACTTCAACATTAACCTCCTTCACGCTGAAAGCTCCCGTTATGCCCAGGAATTTTTTCTCTCTCTGCAAAGCTATTCTTTTACACCTACTATTGATAAACTAACACGCGTGCATAACAACTCTGCCACCTTAATTGATAATATTCTGACTAACAAAGTCGATGCGGCAATATTGTCTCTGATGTCAGTGATAATTTTTCCCAGTTTTGTATCTCCCACTCTTTCTTTAAGGTACCAATGGCGAGAAAGCTAAAGCGCAGAGATTTTTCTGGTTTCTCCGCTAATAGGTTTAACTGTGAACTCTCGGAGGTACTCTCACACCAAAACAATTTTGCTGACCAGTACGCTGTCGACAATGCTTTTTCTAATTTCTATAGCACTCTGTCAAGTCTTGTCGAGAAACATGCTCCTTTGAAAACCCTTTCAAAACGTAAGCTTAAGAAATTTTCTAAGCCGTGGATAACCAGTGACCTAAAAAATCCATCAAAATGAAAAATTCTCTTTTTCAAACAAGGGGTTACTCACAATATAAACTCTATCGAAACAAAATTTCCGGTCTCATTTTTATTAGGTTGAGTAAAAAGAACTATTATCACGCATTCTTTGCTGGCAATCTTAATAACATAAAGAGCACCTGGAGGGTATAAATAGCCTTATCAATGCCAACAAGAAAAAAATCTCAGGTTATCTCATCGATAAAATGCCTTAATGATAACAGTATAACAACTGATCCTCTTGAGATTTCAAACACTTTTAATGAGAATTTTCTTCTGTTGGCGAAAAATTAGCGTCGCGTGTACCACCCTCTTCTTGTAGTTTTACTGACAGAGTACTTGTCACCCAATAATAATCCTAATTCCTTCTTTTTTGATGCAGTCTCTCCAGTAGATATTGAACGAGAAATATTGTCTATTCCTCGGAACAAAACCTACGGTCCTTACGTACTTTTGTCCAATCCATATTTTATCTGGTGATAAACATATTATCTCTGGCCCTCTATCTAATATTTTTAATATGATCTCTGTGCAAGAAGGTGCCTATCCATCCAAATTAAAGCAAGCGACTGTTAATCCTGTCTACAAAAGTGACGATGTAACTGAACCTGGGAATTATCGGCCTATTTCGCTTTTAACTATTTTTAATAGAATATTTCAAAAATTGATGTACCATCAACTTAAAACCTTTCTTGACAAAAACGATATCTTATTTAAATTCCAGTATGGTTTTCGTGAAAAGCACTCGACTCAACACGCTGTTATTGACATTGTTAATATCATACAAAATAATATGGACTTAAAATTATTTACTTGCGGCATCTTCTTAGATCTAAAAAAAGCCTTTGATACCGTTAACCATTCAATCTTACTAAAAAAAACTTGATCATTATGGTATCAGGGCATCATTAATGACTGGTTTTGGTCGTACACAAGTGACTGTATTAGATTGTAATCTATCCAACATTAATAAGATCTCATGTAGTGTCCCTCAAGGCTCTGTTCTTGGCCCTTTGTTATTCTTAATTCATATTAATGATTTTCATCACTCTACTTCGAAATTTTTGTTTTAACTTTTTGCAGATGACCAAAATTTGCTGTATGCCGATAAAAATCTCAAGACCCATGAGGAAACGGTCAATAGCGAATTGTTCAATGCAAATAAGCTTACTTTAAATGCTAAAAAATCTAACTTTATCATTTTTCGTCCTTATCAACGTAAACTGGACCTTACGGTCAATATTCAAATGTTTGGCAATAGTAATCATTCTTTTCCCTCTCTTGAATGTAAGGATCATATATATAAAATATCTAGGTGTCTGATTGGATAGTCGTTTGAGTTGGAAATTTCACATTGACAATGTGGCACTAAAAATAAGTAGAATAATTGGAATTATTGCCCGCCTTCGGCATCTCGTACCTTTAACCACTCTATTAACTATTTATCGCTCTTTGATCCTCCCTTACCTATCCTATGGCGTGGCTGTTTGGGGCCAAGCTGCTAAATCCCATTTGCAAAAAATCCTCGTCCTACAAAAACGTGTTCTTCTGCTGATATATTTTTCTGAACCCAGAGCACATGCGTTGCCTTTATTTATTTTCTCAAAAGTCCTGCCCATAAATATGTTATACGTTAAATCAGTTTCCTCAATTATGTTTGACGTCTCATGTCTAACTGTTCCTACCAACATTAGTAATCTTTTCATTAAAGCTACTGAAAAACATAATCGTCATACGAGGTTCTCTTTTTCCGGCAATTTTTATATTAATCAATCGAGATTGAATCAAAACCAGGGCTCTTTTGCTAGCTTCGGAGCTAAACTTTGGAACTCCATTAGCGATACTCTTTGTCAATTCCCGAAGAGAGCTTCAAAAAACTCTTCAAGGACATGTTATTTTCGTTCTTAGAGCCTGAGGATTACTATGTTGAATCGCCCCTTCTACTTCAAAAAAATTACCACTTATAAACCGCTTTATAATTTATATTCTACATTCTATAATGTTTCTATTTTCTTTTGTTTAGTGATGCAGTTCTATATACGAGTTTTAAGTGGCTGTCTTTTTCTAGAAATGTTATTAAATTACGTTTAAGCTTTATCAGTAATCTATCACCACTGCTGTACCTCTAATTCTCGCCCGCCCCGACTAGCTCCTGCTATTTGCGGGCGTGAACGGTCTTCATGAACATGAAAGTTTGCTTGACAACCGATTAATGTTGATATCTTGTAAAACGTGTAGATTAGATTAATAATAATTAATTAGATGTCAATTGATTAATAATAATTAAGTAGATGTCAGTACAACTTATGAAGTTTAAAGGTCTAATAAAAATAAAGTTCCACCATCTCAATCTTCATCTGTTTCAACCATGAATTACTTCTTTCTTGTTAAACATTATTAAGGAAGACGTGCATATTTAGCGATGCTAGAGTCTTGCCTATGGCAGTTTAGGCAGAACACTCGTGACTCCTCTGACCAATGCAAACTGAGACAGTGTAGCTCCCATAGTTCATATCATGATGTTGTTGTCGTTGTTTTTAACTTGAAGCTACTATGTTTAATGTACTCTTTCTGGGGGGAATGATTGCTTCAGATGGCATGAGTTACGTCCAAGCGTTTTTTGAGGTTTCCCTTGACATAAACATTTTTTTTATTTAAATGTTTTGCCTAAGAAAACAACACAATATCCCTTGAAATGGCTTAAACTTGATATTTGCGATCAGGACTTCATTTTGATAAACATTAGTCCTCTGTGTCTTTCGTGACTAAAGTCGATCGATCTCAAAGAAGGTCTAGCTGTACAAAAAATACGAGTTCAGCTCTTCGAATATATATTTGATTAACGCTGAAGGCTACAAGGGGCGAAGTCATGCAACGGTTTTAAAGTCTATTTAGAACGTTTTCCGGAACAGTGCACCAGGAGTTTAACCTATAGCGCAAAGGACTTAACAGATTCTTAAACAACACTTTCTTCAAGCATCAAAACTCGATTACAAAGAAAAAATAGTAATACCTTCGCTGTTATGACGCACACCCAGCGAGTGTTCCAAACCGAGAAACAAGCAAGCAGCTAATCAAGTTGCCTGTCACTGGTTGTTTTAAAGATTCTTTAGATTTCAATTTCTTGAAAACGAGAGGAAGCCGTAAGTTTTAAATGATGATTAAAGTTCTTAATGTTTCTTCGTAACTCTCTGAAAGAATACGCGTACCATCCTTCTGGCGTATCACTTTCTTTCATGCATCAAAACTCGATTACAAAGAAAAAAAATAAAAGATTAGCTGTTTTGACGTACACCCTACGGTTATGTGCTCCAAATCGAAAAACAACTGAGCCGTAAAATAATTTACCTTCACTTACATAAAAGTGAATTTTTAGTCAACCATATGGTGAAAGTTCTAGCTTGGTGTAACTTTTTGAATCAAAGCGGAATGCTTGTATCTTCATGTGGCGGATACTTCAGTTGTGGATAAAGCAGCTGTAAGCTAGTATGGCGGATTTCTTTCCATGTGACCCGTTGAACGAATCTCACGCAAATCACAAATGTGATGTCAGTCTACAAGGAAGGTCCTTGTATATCATAGTTGTTCTACTCCATGAGATAATTTAACCTTTCGCTTCCGAGTGGAATTCCCTTGATCTTGTTCCGCCCATTGGGTGCGTAGTCCCAGTTTCTCTCTACAGCCGTAATGTAACACTCTCGAGTCGTAGAGCTAGCTTCTCTTGGCAGATAAATCCAAGAGGGGACAAAACCTAGCGCGCGGAATATAGCAACATTGTCACTGCAAGGGCACCGTTAATTTTCAAACTTATTCTGATATCAGACTGATACAATGAAGTTTTAAATCAGTCTGCAGGCGTCGGAATTTTTACCACGTATCGAGTGTCATAAAGAGAGCATCTGTGTATGCTTTATGCTCTTTTGTGTCCTTCTCTTGTTTGCATTCCAGAATATTTGCAATCATCGTTTTTCATGAAAAGTAACTCGACTTTTTTTTATTTTATATTACAAATTTTTGTATTCCCTTGTGTTTTGAACCACGGTTTACATAGCGGTTTATATAGCGTCATATAAGGAACCACTCGACCAATCAGATTGCTGGAAACTCTTCGCTCAGCTCTGAAATTATACTAACAATTGATATTCTCTCAAGACTCTCTTGTGAGAAGCCATAGTATCCTATGGTAACCCTAACGATTAAAAAGATGATCACAAATCCTTGGGCAGTTTTTCTTTTAGACCAATTTCAAGGTAACAAATGAAAAATTGTGGAAATCACGATCCGTCAAAGAATCAAACGAAAACATCTCGAGCTACTTTGAAATCTAAGAGGATTTTTAAGAAACTTTTGGCGGTGTATTTTTTTAGGCCTTCCTCTTAAGTGTTAGAATGACAAAGAATGCCCTCTGGAGTACAATCTAACATCGTGAACTGTGACACAGAAAGCTCTTTGAAACACTGCACCAATTGTTCCTTTCCTCAATAAAGACACTTGCTCCTGAGGTCATCATTAAAAGTTTTGTAACGCCGAAAGTTCAGTTCACAGTGTGGAAAATACTACCCAATCCTTACTATACAGTATACGCCTTTCCAAGGCATTTAACAGTTTCCTGGGGTGAGTGCTCCTTTGCCATTTTGAGACCGAAATACTTTACACCTTAGTACTTTTTTCAAGTGACAATTAGTGAAATACAGCTTGTCTATAAAATCTAACTCAATTACAGACCTTGACCAGTTTACGGGTGCAAGTCCCTTTCGGTTTAGAACCTCATAGTCAAAATCTATATGGAAAAAGGTTTGATAGAATTTTATGCACAAATCCATTTAATCTGAGTAGCGGGTTCCCTGCCTTCTTCCTCCCGGCTGTATTACTGCAAGCCTTGAAGATTTGCACGCCAACTTAACTTTTTAAAGACGGTGGGACGTATTATGAAACTGTGACTCAATCAAGTCGCGACGCTAAAAAATTGGTCGTCATTTAAATGTTGATAACCAGAGATACTCAAAATTCCCTGGTGAGAAAACTAAAGATACAAGCTTTGATAAAAGTTAATATATATATATATATATATTTTTTTTTTCGTCTTCTAAGTTAAGTAACATGCCTCAATTTCATTCCGTGAGAGTGCTGTAAATGCGTGCAATACTAGTACAGTATTACCTGAAATTGTCGTTCTTTAGCGGGACTCCTTTGATCTTGTTTTTTCCACCGGGTGCATAGTCCCAATTTCTTTCTACGGCTGCTACATAATAACCACGAGTAGCTGGGGTAACAGGTCTTACAAGCGTGCAACCCAAAGCGAGAAAACTCATTGAAAAGTACAACAACATTTTGTTATAGTCCAAGTACTGAGCTGTCTTTTTTGCTTTAAACTCGACAATGTGTTCTCCTTGTGGAAGAATTTAATCGATGACAGGACAAATGACGCAGTTGCCAAGTACTTTAACACAAATTAGATGTGGACCGCTTCAACAAGTCATTTAGGGTATTGACGTTTTAACGAGGAAATTATTTTCAGAGCAAACTGGGACAATGGACGAACACAGAACGCAGGTCAATTCCAATCAGTACAATTTAACCACTCCATTCAAAAACAGCCTTTCGAACCATTTCACTATTGTTCTGTTAGCTATTAGAAATGAGTGTTAATTGGCCTTTGGTGATAATTAAGCTTCATTTGTCCTGAACGAGTTTCCGTCATCAAGGCAGAGTATTTCCATTAAGTTTTTTTAAAACATCAGATGGTTCTCAAGGCAAAACAGAATATTGAAGAAAAACACCCTAACGTAACCAGAGGTGGGGTGGGGGATACGGTGAAACCAAGTAGAAGTGAGTGGAAGCAAACGTTTTTACTCAGTTTGTGTATGTTAGTAGTTTTCCCTTCGAATAAAAAGACGTAGAAAAGTAGCTCAAAACCCCCAAACCAGTTCCTCTACGCGTTCTGTGGTATATCATTTCACGCTGCATGGGAAGTAGGACAAGATCTGAGGGAACACGTGGGGATAGCGGAACAAATGTTCAAGAAAACGCATCTTCCCCGTCATACCCCCAAACTCCGGCTCCCGCTAGTTAAAACAGCGCGATAAGCTTGGTTAGTTTGCTAGTTAATTTAGGTCAGTTATGTGCTCGGTGTTGTACAGATCTTTGTAAAGTCCAAGCATAGAGGTCAATTGTAACATCACATTAATTTGGTCAGAAACTTTTTACTTTATTATACTTCCTAGAGAGTTTCTAGCGCTGTATCCGAACATTTCAAGGTCGCCTCGGTAAAGTTTCTTGAGGCGCAAAATGTCTTCTCTCGGAATCTTGGAATAATAATGCCCTAAGTTATCCCTAGTTGATGTGTAGCGAACAGGAGGAAATGATACTAAACGATCTACACCCGCATCATGTAACACAAATGGAGCATCCTCTGTTAATGTCTCGTATTGTCCGATAAAATCAAAGTTTATCTTGCACGGATGACAGAGGTTATCGTAATGATTCCAATGTTCGTCGAGTTTGCCCCTTTTTGAGTGGACATTGATTACGTATGATATGAAATGGTGGAACTTAATTTCTCCGCTATGCGCTGAAGATGTTTCATTAGTGCCCAGTCTTACTCTGACAGATTGCTTGATTTTGTGCACGTGCTTTTTGTAGATATCAGTTTTATTAGTAAATTTGTTTCTATATGCTGACAAGAGTCGCTCAAAAGGCTCGCGAACGAAGAGAAACTTGTAGTAGTTCTGCAAAATATAACGTATATCAGCCTTGGAGTGATAGCTGAGAAGGTCAAATCTTTGTTTGTGTACAGATTTGCCACTCAACCCAACCAGCTCCGCCATGATTTTTTTCCATCTGCTGCACGCAACTTTAGGAATGTAACAGTACACCACTCGATGTTTTCTATCCACAATGAAATGATTCAGGTCCTTAGCCCCCAGTACTCTTGCTTTTGCCTTTTTACAGTAGGCCATAACTTGACGTTTTCTCTCTTCTTGTCTAGATGCCATAAAATGAACGGACTGAAAGTACAGAGGGTTAGTGCGTTTTTCGTTTGACCCGAGTGAAAGCCAAAACTGAAGTCAGTGATCCCAACTACTAGATGTCACAGAAGAAAATATAATCAGGAGCCAATTGGAATTCAAGTGAATGTCTCGTGAATGTCTAAAGAACGTTAACGAGAGTACGCGAGTGATTGTTAAAGAAAGTGGTGCAAGTTTTCTGGAGCAACCAAAAAGCTTAAGAACTCTACAGTTCCTTATAACTTCAACAATACTTTGAAAGTTGTTGTACAGAGAAGCACCTGCGATTGACTCTGGGAAAAGCATATTACCAAGCTCACTTTCAAGACGAATGCTTTTGGTATAAACTCTTATGAACTGTCTTAGGACTGACATAGTGTCACTTGTTATATGCTTAGTCATTATTTCCAGACAATTAACATGACTGAAAAAATAAACGCTGAGTGTAGATTTGAGCTCGAAGTCTAAGTCGAACTTTTCAATATAACCCATCCATAGCAGAGGACGTCTCCTCTGAAACTTGGTCTCGACAGGGAGATATCGAGGCCGAGGGAGGGCTTTTCGAGAAATCGAGAAATGAATCTTAGGGTAAATTTTGATTTAAAGTAGCTTTATGCTGTTCTTAACTTGTTCTTCCCTTTACTGACCTCTGCTTCTGTTAACTGCCCTGGTCCTGATGTGTTATGTGAGGATTCTTGTAAGGCGAGACCTGCGGAAAAAAAAAACTGAAATGCTCATACATGTTTTATTATGGATGTTGATAGATATGACGAAGGAACAGCAACCATTGTGAATGGAAGGCCAATCATTTCTATTACAGTTCAACCCCATGGATTCCTGTGCCTTCGCGTAATCCGTCCGCCGTGCTATTAAATAGAAATCGGCACGCACACACACACACAACAAAACAAAATTCCCAATTCCCACAATCAGTACTTCTGAGCGGAGAGGTGTCGTATGAGTTGAATGTCTTGCTAAGAACAATAAAGAACACAGCTCATTCAACACCGAGACAAGACAAAAAAACTTTTATGGAATTTTACGGTCCTAAACCATGTTGGACGTCATTCACGCTACAGGTATATCCGAGACACGATTAAGTACTTTTTTGGACTTTTGAATTGAACTATTGACGAGCAGTCATTAACTTAAGGAGCATTTGTTAGATTCCAAAGGGACTTACTGAAAGCTTTAAGTTAAGTCCAACCGTGAAGTCACAAAGTTTTGCTGATCATCTCTCAATTCCCCTCCCTTACATTTGACAAGAGTGAAAAACAACAAAAAATGGAACATTTTTTGCGTCAAAACGGGGTATTTGACAGCTATGTTTACCGCTACATTTTATACCTTGTTCCTTTCAAGAACAAAAACTAAGTTGATCTTGAAAATTTTTGTAAGCGAATTTGAGTACGGTCTGTTCTTAGATCAAATACTCAGAAGATAATTTTCGCCCCCCTCAAACTACTGTGAGCGGATTTTCTACAAATTCCTTTCCATATTAGTGTGCGTCTATTTCTTCTCTCTTGTAGCTAGCTAGGGTGGGACACTGTGTAAATGAGATGTGGTGTAACATAGTGCAACAAACTTAGTTCTGATACTGGCGATTGAATTGTCCTAAATCCCTGCTGAAGTAAAACGTCGTCGTTTATTTTCAAGTATATTTTAGTAGGTCAGATACAGATTAGTTTCGGCCAACATAAGACGTTATAATTGGATCGTAAAAGGTTTCGCGAACAACTTGAGGCGCATGAACAGTTTGGGTATTGGCATGTATTTCCTGCTTAAAAATGAAGAATCTTAGAAGCGCGGAATATGAACAAAAGGCTTACAAACATTTGTTATGACTGAAATGCCTAGTGCAACAGGGTGAAGTACGCCTTGCTAAGCCTTTTCTTCACAGGAGTGACCAAAAAGGAAATTCTCCCAAACATATCACTATATCTTCCCGAAGAAATGTGTAAAAAAACGAAAAATATCAACTAACTGAATGGATGGGGTTTGATTCAGCACCCAATTTTATAGCTGCAGTAGTAAGAAATGTGTAGTAGGTAGCTCGTACTTATAGGATTGATCTTCATCTCTGCAGTGAAAGGGTTGAGATAATTATGATAGCCATATCACTTGTTTCAGCTCGCCAATTTCATTTCAAATTACACGGCTGCGATCGCAGTTGCTGCAAAACCATAGTTATTCACAAATAAAATAAGAAACCTAAATGATTCCACATTTGTGGTATCATCTAGGTCACGCCAGAGTGCTCAAACTAACGTGTGTGTATACCGTAAACCTGAAAAAGACTAATGAATAAAGGATGAAAAATTACATGACTACTTACAAACGTTGTGTGACTAAACGGAAAGCGGTGGAATAGAAATCGTGAGTGATTTCACTCATAAAAAAAAATCAACCTGACCAAAGAAATTTTCTGAAGGAAAAAATCTAACATGATTTGAATCGTGTTGAGAAAACATGCGAGAACAAGAATGAAACTTTCCGTTCAAACAAAAATATTACTGAGAGTTCAAGAAACGTATTTATTACAAAATACGGTCGCAACAATAGCTTCGACAGAGCGCCGCAGGGACGTCTCTGCTGAGCTAATATAGGAAGAGCTTTCTATCGTCTTACCTTTAAATCTCGGTCTCTCTGTTGCAATAAAGAGCCAGATAATAGAGATGCCGCCCAAAATCGCCATCGATGTAAAAACCCTTCTACGGATCATCCTGGTTGCATGTAATCGAATCCGGCGCTCTATGGAACTTGAGCTCCCAGACAAGATTTCAAAACAAAGAGCAAACGGGCTTCAGTTCCCTGAGGGACAAAATGGCACAAAAACTGAACCTCTACAATCTAAGATAAATGGATGTCACTTTACTTGCAGGTCTTAATATGAAAAATCATCGCTATTTCCGGTCGCAAGTAAGGGCCGCGCCGATCGCCGCAAGCCGGATACGAAACGTCAGGGGAAAACAGTCGTTCATTGCTCCAAGGAGTCATCCTTAGAAGTCTTGGAGGGGGTGTCCCTCCCAGATTTCCAAATCCTGACTCTCATTCAGACCAAAACATGTTATTTCCCACATCTGTTTTCGTTAATTCTTGGCCTCCAAAATCCATACCCGTTTTCAGACTTGGTTACTGCAAGAAGTATTTGGTTTTCGAATACACAACGCTTTGCCGTAAAATATCATTCCCTATTGGGATAAGATAATGCATGATTCAACAGGCCCATCTCCAGAAAAAAACATCAATCCACACTACGGGGGGGGGGGGGGGGGGAGAGAGAGGAGGGGCCATCGGTGCTCTGAATGGTGCCTACACCTCATCAAGATTGGTGGGTGACTATATTTTCCCTCATTCCTCCCTGACGTATGGTTTACAAATTAAGAGGCGACAAGAGCTAAAAGTGTAAATAAATAAATATTTAAAGTCGTTTTCTTTATATAGAAAACTTGGTTAGAGTCTATCCTTGCGGTAGAGTGCTCGATGCGTTCGTAGAGCGTGGTGTATCTGAAGATTGATCATAAACTAATTAATAAGACAACTTTTTCTGTGACTAGCTCTGAGTTTCCCGCTTAAACCTGTCTGATGATCGCGTAAGCGTGAAACTCAAAGTCACAGAAAAAGTTATGTGTGTGTGTGTGAGTGTGTGTGTGTATGTGTTTAACTAACTACAGACAGTACCGTTTTAGCCTTCTGGGCCTCATAAGTGCAGTGCTAACTCTAGAATGGAGTTAAAGCCATTTTGGCATCCCAAATGATTCCACATTTGTGGTATCATCTAGGTCACGGCAGAGTGCTCAAACTAACGTGTGTTTATACCGTAAACCTGAAAAAGACTAATGAATAAAGGATGAAAGTTTCTAAAGAAACTGTGGTGCTGCGTCGGTGGGGGTAACAAGGTAATTTGGTTATATCAACTAAGTTGAAATTGTAAATTGGCCACAGCAACAAGTTAAACAACTGACATCCTATCCAGGGGGAAGTACAGTCATACTTCTAGTTGCTTTATGCTTTGAAAACCTGGATAAGATCCAGCTGAAGGGGCCATTTGGCTCAAGTGCAAACTTTACCATAGATGAAAGTTTCTAAAGAAACTGTGGTGCTGCGTCGGTGGGGGTAACAAGGTAATTTGGTTATATCAACTAAGTTGAAATTGTAAATTGGCCACCGTAACGAATAAAGAAGCTGACGTTTCGAGCGTTGGCCCTTCGTCATTCGCTCTGACGAAGGGCTCAGTAACGCTCGAAACGTCAGCTTTTTTATTCGTTACGGTGGCCAATTTATAATTTCAACTTAGTTGATATAACCACTGAATTACCTTGAAAAAGACTAACACGAAACTGGACGAAACGACACAAAATACAACTTCCGGCAGACATACGAGAGCTTATTCATAAACTTGAGTGAATTAAAGCTCCATAGGTTACCTAACACCAATTCTGTTGAAAACCGCAGGAGTATAAATATTCGTGCACAAATGCACACCTAAGTTTGGCCAGTATTCAATGGTGCACCCAAGATAAATCCGTGCCTTTCAAGATAACTATAGGGTGCTGGGATAAAGCTGGATTAACACCTGTCTAAGATTTCTAACCGTAAATGGATTACGGTTCCCTGCCGTCCCTTATCGTTTAAGAATAGGGACCTTAAGCAGTCAGAACGGCAACGCCAAAGAAGACGTCGATATTAAAAAAATGAATTTCTACTTTACTTAGAATTTCGAAAATGGCTGCATGTGATTACCGTCTCTAACGGCGCCACACCTCAACTTCAGCATAAAATGTATATTAGCAGCTTGTGTTCCAAATGGAAATTACAATAATTTGCCGTCGCGGTTTCCGCTCTCAGACGACGCAAATTTTGGCGATTTCACGTCGCTGTTTTGCAAAGGACGGCTAAGAAATGTACAAAGTTTTAAAACGCACGTGCTGGCTAATGTTCTGCCCATTAGATCTTTTGTTTTGTTTTGCCGCGTCCTCGTTGCCGCCGCCGATCGTGGTTCGCTTAACACCTGTCTAAGATTGCTAACCGTAAATGGATTACGGTTCCCTGCCGTCCCTTATCGTTTAACAATAGGGACCTTAAGCAGTCAGAACGGCAACGCCAAGGAAGACGTCGATATTAAAAAATGAATTTCTACTTTAATTAGAATTTCGAAAATGGCTGCATGTGATTACCGTCTCTAACGGCGCCACACCTCAACTTCAGCATAAAATGTATATTAGCAGCGTTGTGTTCCAAATGGAAATTACAATAATTTGCCGTCGCGGTTTCCGCTCTCAGACGACGCAAATTTTGGCGATTTCACGTCGTTGTTTTGCAAAGGACGGCTAAGAAATGTACAAAGTTTTAAAACGCACGTGCTGGCTAATGTTCTGCCCGTTAGATCTTTTGTTTTGTTTTGCCGCGTCCTCGTTGCCGTCGCCGATCGTGGTTCGCTTCAGGTCCCTAATACTATTGCTTCCGGAAGGTTGACCTTCGGAACAGTTTTAGAGAAGACGTTTATTTTTATTTCTTTTTTAAAGTGAGAACGCCTCGATCATATTAGCGGGTTGGTCAGTTGCTCATTTTGGATTAAGATCATAAAAGAGGGTCGTCGCTAAATTTTTTCTTTGTCTTGAGTGAGCTGTGATACTGTGAGATGTCTCTGGACTTTCTGGCCAGAAAACAGTCCGAAAAAATCTTCGTCATCGTCAAACTGGTCGCCAAAATCGTTATCGTTATATCTGATATAAGGGGCAGTTCAACCCAGACTTGGTGGACAGTGTTAGGTGTAGGGCGAACTTTTTTACTTGTTTTTTTGTTTTGAGATGAAAGATAGATGTGTGACAACAGAGGCTCACCTTAGCTACACAACTGTGAAACATTTTTTTTCTTTTGAATATCTACCAGGTAAGAAGAAAATGGACGTTTTTGTATTCAGTCTTTCTCGAGATAGGATCAAACTCTTGCTCTTTTGGGCTCTCAGAGAGACAGAATAAGGAGAACACGGTCTCTAACTCCCCCCCCCCCCTTTGAAACCCTAACCCTCCCTATCAACCCACGCCCTGTACTCTACCTGAATCTCTTCAAGACTTGTGATAGGGAAAACACTTTTCATAGGAGAGACTATCGATTGGAAAGTCTTTGAAACATTGTCCGGCTTTTGAAGTTCAGTTTTTATGGGTGGGATGAGGTTTTTTTTTTTTTTTTTTTTTAAAAAAAGAGATTATTATTCATGGTTTTATAATCTTTTCCGAGCAAGGCAACTATTCAATCAACAAATGGAATTAGTTAGACGAAATGAATGTGATATATCAGGCTTTTCTGGATAAGCTCTTTATTGAATATCATTCAAAGAGATATTATAGCGATACAAATTTGATAGCTCCAGACGACATTTTTTAAATTCAAGCTTGTCTTACCATGTCAAGTTTTTTTTTCTGCAACACAAGCAGCAGTGTGTAAACCGTTTATTTTGAACTTGTGGTGCGAGGGAAAAATTTCACTCTGACACTAAACACGTTCCAAACAGCCTAATTATCAAGACTTTCTACCTCGTGCCAAAGTGTACAGTTAATATAAAGTTCGAACCAAAGAAACAGCGCGGCCAAAAAAGTCTCTCAGAAAACATTCTCAATGCGACGCCAGGTTAAGTCGATTAGGCCATAATCTTTTATTTTAAGAAAATTGGACGGCCAGATGAGGCCTTGATGCTAAATACAGCATTGTGCAATATTTATAGAAACTGATCTAGCTAGATTTATAGCGAAGATTCTAGAAAATCTGAAGGTCAGAATAAAAAACCATCCCGAGACTGAATGGTATTTAATTACCTTGCTGTCCTCGCAAGAGAGATGGATGCACAGCTCGAAGTTCACCGACCTTGAGCCTCCTCTGAAGAGGTTGCAAAAATAATGCACGTTTTTTCGGAGGCCGTGTTTACAATTGATTGTATATGTCGAGTTTAAAAAACATCTCTTATCAATGGTCCTTATACTGAAGGGGTGCAGAGTTAGTTTCAAGTATTTCTGAGGGTCCGGACCAAATCAATCAATTTCACAAAATACTTTAACAGGCTTAAAAAAATCCACGGAATTGTTCTAATGCGAATTAATTACGCTGTCTCGTACGTACGTGTCCTCTTTGAACATACCTCGGGTCTTTACGATATATTAGTATCTTGGTCAAGGATTTAAGTTAAACGGTTCAATTTCTGAGAGATCAGATTAACGAATCATCCCATTATGAAAAAGGCTAGAGGTTAACTTTATTGAATTTAATTTCAAATGATAAGTTCTAATCATTTGTTCGTTAAATGAATTTGGTTTTGTCTCGAGTACAATTTTTTGAAAAACGATTTATAAGTTCTGTATTTCTTCAATGCAAAACTAATAACATAAACTTGCAAAAATCAGTACCGAAGCAATTTGATCTTAACTTAGCTGAAAAAAAAAAAATTCAAGAGTTAATTGCAATTGCAGAGCTTGTTGTCGGCAACAAATAACTGCTTTAAAAAGGATTGACATGCTCTAAAGAGAAACTAGAGAAGTTTCTTTCAAAGGCTTGGCAAAACGCGGAAAAAACATCGCTAGTCAGTTTACAAATATATCCACAGCTATGCCATATGTGTATATTTAGTTTTGTGGTACACCACAAAAACATCTGTCTCCTAAAACGATATCTTTAAAGATATTTCTCTTGAAAAGAATAATTTGAAAGCTAACTAACGAACATTTTCAATGTATTTTCACTGACAAATAAAAATTAAAATGTGACTAGTTTACGTGATCACTGAGAATCGACTGTGCGGCATGACGTGACTTGAAGTTTACGAAATCCACATCATTTGATTTTCTAATCATTTCTTCAGTCAAATGGACTGAATTTGAAGCAACTACACAAACAAGGCCACTTTTGAAGGAGGCATATATCTAGTGACTCGTTTGGCTCGGTAGCGAATAAAAGAACGAGGAATAATGAATATAAGCGTTAAGTTAATGGCTCGTTTGGCTTGGTAGTGGATGAAAGAACGACTGCGGAATAATCTATGTGCGCATAATTCTTAGGTCTACATTTAACGTAACCCTTTATTCTGTAGTTTAGCTCTAAATTGTATCGTTTCCTTGCAGTTCGCCGCTGAAATCCTTTCCGATATAATTCCGATATACTGACTCACTGCGAAGAGAAAACCACGGTATGAAGTCATTACATTAACTGTCAGTCAATCGTCATAAATCTATGTGCTCTAGAAGCTTCCTACATTACTGTAAACAGAAGCCTTCGGATCGGTAACCGCGGGTGATTCACGCAACCAGATACTTCAAATGCACAAGATGATTTGAATGATGAACTCTTGAGTTAGAAAAGCCTTTCATGAAAGTAGGTATAATACAAGAGGATCATTTTTAAAATGTCTGGCAAACCGCTAGAAGAAGCGGACCGTTCGTAGACGACAATTGTTCAAGTGATTTCTAAACGGTAACAGTGCGATTGGATATGGAATACAAATAAAAAAGTAGAGCGAAGGAAATCAAGCCGGCAAACCGCTGGGATTTATAAGGCCTTACAGAGAAGACCGTTCGTTGACAGTTGTTCAAGTGATTTGTCAACGTTGACGGTGTGATTAGATGATGAATGCAAATAAAAAAGTAAAGCGAAGGAAATCAAGCTGAAGCTCACCTTTTTGATAGCCTTGAGTCCAAAACTTGCGAAATTTTTCGCTACGGATCGTTTTTTACGCCTTGAGTTGACGTTTTGAAAGGAACGACGGCAGTCCGAATTCTACATCCTCTTTTAGTCCAACGCACTTTCGAAGTACAAGTCAGTAAGTATGCTAATCACTCATTGATAATCAATGAATTGAAAAAGCCTTACGTAGTGTTGTGGAGCACAGCGCCCTCACCTTTACTTCCCACAAGTGAAATGACTGGCAGATGTCCGTTCAACTGCATGTCAACCAAATGACAGCTGTTACTACTGTTGTTTCAAGCTTGCGCTAAAAGGAGGGGAGCGTTGCGTGACATTTCTAAGAACGGCTGTGAAGTAGACTAGTAGTGAAGCTGTAGCGGTGGGGGAGGAGGTTTTTGGCAAAAGACAGCTCTCCCAAGCGAAGCAGGGATGGGGCAGGTGGTTAAGTCCGTCCAAAGATCAAACCTTTTTTGTATGTCTGACCACATCAGCATTTGCGCGGGAGCCTCACAGTTCGTGAATCACGTGCGAGGAGTCGCGAGGGTCTCTCACGCACGCAAGTCAGCACCTCTTATCGCTGGCTCTGATCTGCATTTTTTGTTCCGTGAACTATCAGGTGAACTTGAAGATGAGTCCGCCATGTTTGTTTTGACTTGCATACGAAGGTCTATGTTGACGTTCAGTTTTGTTCTTTTTGTGGTATTAGGATGTTTAGTTTCGCTTTCAAACCAGTGTAGCAATAATAAGGACTGTAAAAATGGCTACTGTACAGCGGGTATGTGTATTTGCAATCCAGGATGGTGGGGAAATCTTTGCCAGTTTTGTCGCCTTAGGTAAGAATCATGCTATGTTATGGAGTTGTTTGTCCTTTATATTACTTTCATTTTCGAAATTTATTACCTAGAATTTATCACTTCAAAATTGTTTATATTTAAGTATTATTCTACATGTGCAACGCTTCGTGTTGGAAAATCTATGTTGCCGTTGCTGATAAAAAAGTCTGTCGCCTCGATCGAGGAAAGTGCCATTTTGGTCTAATTGTATATATATTGTTAACTGTGCTGAGTTGAATTCTCTTGAGTTTTAAATCTAAGGAACTAATCTTTCGAGCATCTTTACAATTCTTGATTCACACCTCCCACTAAGTCAGAAAAAAGGCAGGTCGTCACAACCTTTTTTATGGTAACATTTTGTCGAAACGTAGTACAGTGTTAATAACATTTTCTCACGAATTTTTCAGAGCACTCGTATTCATTTAAGAACTTAGGAGAGCAAATCGGAGGCTGAGAACTTTGAATTTAATATGAAATATTCTCAAGCTTGGATTTTCCGTGGAGGTTTTCTCAAAAAGAAATCCTGATTTCGGACAGGCTGACAAAAATAGCTGTGTGTCAATACGATTTGATGGCAATAAACGAGCAAATCGGAGGCTAAGAACTTTGAATTTAAGATGAAATATTCTCAAGCTTGGATTTTAGTGGAGGTTATCTCAAACAAAGAAATCCTGATTTCAGATGGGCTAACAAAAACAGCTGTGTGTCAATACGATTTGATGGCAAAAACTTGCATTGACACCGTTAAGATCACTGATCACTTCACGTGTACCTCCACCAATGTCATCTATTACATATCTTGCACTTGTTGCAAAAAGATATACATGGGCAAAACAGGAAGACAACTAGGTGACCAATTTCAAGAACACCTTTGCAATGTAGAAAGGAATGACAACGACGCATCAAAACCAGTTGCTAGACACTTTAATCTACCCAGTCATTTTAAGTAGCATATGGCAATCTGCAGTCTTTCCTTACATTAAGGTAGCGCAGAGAGCCACAAAACTCTTGAGCAAAAGTTTATCTTTTAAATCAGCACTCTTAACCCCATTGGTATCAACAAACGCTTTTCATTCTACTAACTTATTCTTGATTTTCTCGTCACCATGTTCCCACTGATAGTGTACATGTAGCTCCACTTTCTACATAATTTATTATAAACACATACACAACCTACAATTCCTCTATTCACTCTGGTGAAGGGCTACTGCTCAAAACATCAGCATTTTAACTCTGTACAGTGGCTAATATACAACTTCAACTTAGTTGATAATTAACCAAACTGGCTTGACATCTGCTTGTTTTAAGATGGCCTGGCTTTGTGATGTTCGTAAATTCTTGTTAGTGGGAATAGGTTTCTTTTTCTTTGGGGCAGTGAAAAGTAATACAAATCTTTATAGAATTTGGTGGACAAAATAGCAAGATTCCTTTTGAATCTGGAACTTTCATATATTACCTGTCATTGTTATATAAAGGAGACATTTACCACATATATTGTGGTCCAAATTCAAACAAGTCTGATTTTAACTTTGACTGTCTTTATTCCTTTATGATATAATAGATTCCATTTTGCTTTTTTATGGGGTAAAAGAGAGAAATTCTTTGTATATGTTACAGTAATAGGTTGTAGAAGATGTCAAAATGTGGTAAGAATGTCGGTGACATTTGGGTGCCCCCCCCCCACCCCACTGTACCACTTTTTTTGTTCTTACCACTTGTTGACATCATCTATGATCTACCAGTATTACAGAAGAGGTGGATGGAAACTTGGAATCTATTTGTTAAATAGAATTTTTAAAACATGTCCCTCAAAAAATACAGATGTTATGTTACACCCCCCTTACTCCTAACAGCTCTCTCTCATCAATACCATAATTTCCAGCTGTTTACCCGCGGGTAATCTGTTGATTTGGCCTTAAACACACGCCACTGTGGGAAATAGGGAGGTGTGGGTTATGTGACAATTTTGAAATCTACTTGCGGTTGAATTGAAGAAAATTCTCACCTACCTGCATTTCCACCTCTCACCGGTAATCTGTTGACTCTTTTTTTCGCTGTATGCAATAATCAGCCAGTGCAGGTAATCAGCCATGCGGGTAATTGGCCGTGTGGGTAAACAGCTGGAAATTACGGTAACTTGTTTTCTCTGTCCTCAAGATCGTGTTTGTTTGGAGGTTCCACTGTGGTCTACAAATCAGAAAATATGTAGGGTTTATTACTTCAGGGATTGCTTTTATACATATCAGAAAATATGTTACACTGGTTTTGAAGTTTTTCTAAGAAAGGGAAAATTTGAACCATTACTTGGGAAATCACCTCTGAGCTACCTGATCAGGACCTATGGTGCTTGATCTGGCAATTTAATAATAATAAAGTATTGATGTCTTAATTTTAGACTGGACCAAGATAGTGGAATAATTACGGATGGAGATGGTAAATATGCTAGTGCATCAAAATGCTCATGGCTAATAGAATCCAAAAAGTAAGTTTGTTTGTTTTAGATTTTTCTTTTCCTTTGGCATTGTGTTCTGTACATACATTCAAAAAGTCAATTTATTTACAAAGCATCAAGATTTTTATTTGCACTTAGCTTGCATTCATATATTTATTTTCGATTAGTAATTATAGTAGTTCCTTGTGCACAGTGAAATATAATTTCCATCTCATTGAGACATGTTTCTACTCTTGCAAAGCTGAATATTGTTGAGGGGTGGGGGAGCATCAACTATTTAAATAAAATCTTGCATTCTGATTGGTTAACGAAGCGAAGTATTCAACGTGGAATTTCGAGTTGAAAATGAGGCTAAGTGATATTGTTTCGCCTCTATGTATACATAATAACTATAAGTAATACTGTTTTCTTTTTTTGCTCATTTTTATTGAATTATGCAATTCAAGGAAAATTCGTCATTTGAATCATGAATTCTGCGTTAAATTGCACTTGAAAACCGATATTCATGTGATATCAGTTTTCATGCCCGACTTAATGCAGAATTCCCTCGTCAAGTAATGAATTTTCCTACAATATTGCAATGTGTTGTTAACACTCCCATAACAATGTTGGAATTGTTTTTATTTGCACTGTTGATGTGTGCCTGTACAAGATTTGTTTTGGCTGTGTTTTGCAATAAATGTGTTTGGTAATAATTTTTTTTTATCTTCTACATTATTTTGCGGGCCAAATAGCACTATTCATTAAATTTTTAACAAAAGTGTTTGGTAATAAATTTTTTTATCTTCTACATTATTTTGCAGGCCAAATAGCACTATTCATTTGAATTTTGAAGAAGTTTCAACAGAGTGCATTTGGGATAATTTGTATATTTATGATGGAAAGTCTGTTGAAAGTCCTTTAATAGCGGTTATAAGGTATTGAATGGTGCTACATGTAACTTAGAGTTCTAACTACTGTTAGTAGTAGGTGGCTGATATAATTGGGACCTTAAGCAAACTACAATGACAATGGTAACAGGGACATGACAAAGCAAAAGATTTTATGAGCAGAACAATAGTTTAGCACTTGCATTTTAAAACTTTGTAGATTTCTCAGCTGTCCTCTGCAAAACAAGAACATGAAATCAACAAAATTTTTGTGGTTCAAGAACGGAAACCGCAATCATTATGGCATTATCGTTTAAGTTTCCATTTGGAACTCATATGTTAAGCAGGAGTTGAGATGTGGTGCTGTGAGAGATGGTAAAAACATCCAGCCATTTGTGAAATTCTAACTAAAAATATAAATTCATTTTTTGATCAATGTCTTCCTCAGGGTTGCCATCCTGACTGCTTAAGGTCCCTAATTAATATGCATACTTAAGAAAGTTCTTGATCAGGATCGTGAACAAAACTCATCTCCCTTATGGCAGTAGATGGAGAGTAAGTTGTCTGTTACACAGTGATCTTTAGCACAACTCAACATCTGATTAATCTGTTTGACATAAATTTTTAGTGGTCAAAATGTTACTGTATTGTGTGCATGGCTTTGTAAGCTATTGACTATGCTCAAGCTGAAGTTTAATTTTTGCCTTTTCGTAGAGTTTTAAGGCTAGTTGAGGTCTTACTCAAACAGCACTTTTATTGAAGCAGTGCCTTCAGAATTCTCTACAAGGGGGTTGGTTTAATTAAATTAATTTCCTTCCAGTACTAGCTTTTGACCCTCTTGACACTGCTCACAAAAATAAATGTTCAGATTAAAAGTTCAGCTAAATTGAAGATGGCTTATGGAACATGGTTTTGTTAAACAATGGCTAAATTTTGTTCAGTATTACAGTAAGCCATGTCTCTCTGTCCATGGTTCAATATTTTCTAACTGCCTTTAAGACCACTCGCCACTGTCTGTTTAGCCTGTGAGCAGGCTCTTGTGTTTGGGTTGTGCCTTGCAGTACAGCCCCCTATACTGTGTTACATAATCAATGGTCATTTATTAGAAAAATTTATTGAAATTCCCTATTGTGTATATGACAAAATGACAAATCTAAGCATCGTACATGTACGTGTATCTGCACAATGTGGAAGTTCAATCATAGTTATCAACTTGACTATATTGTAAGGTTGAGAACTTTCATGACATCACTTGCACCTAAAAATCTTAAAATGCACCCACGCTCTTCACGATTATTTAGGCTGTAATTAATTACTGGTATTTCATAATTCTTGCCAACAAAGAGCTTTCAAAACTGACCTTTTGTGTGGGTATATTTGTTGAAGGTGTTCAGCATATTATTTATATCATTACACAGTGGGGTCATTAGAGATGCATCGAAAGACAGATATTCTGATGGTCCTGTGCTGAAGTTTGAAGCCAAATCAGGGGCGGCCTTTCTCTACTTTTACAGTGATAAATACTATGTCGAGAATGGACTCAGGATTAGATATAGGTAAGCTTTGGTGTTGCTGCATTATTTAATAGGAGTATAACTGTCTGAACTGCACGTGTCACATACTCAGTCAGTACTCACGTACTCAGTCAGTAGTAGCTCTGCATGGGGTGTGCACTTGCTCTTTAAGCTAAGTAGACTGAGCTAGAAGTGGAGTATGGGGGTGCTGCTAGGTTACCCCACTCTTTTTCCCTTCAGTTTTTCTTTGTTTCACAAGTGATGGGGGACAGTAGCTGTCCTCTTTCTCTTCTGCCTGGTTACTCACGTAAGAGTTGTATAGATTTGCCAGTATGTTTGAGATGTCATCATTTTTCTCATTTTATTTTCCCTTTTCAGTATCACCAAAGATTGTTCAGCAAGATGCAATTTCCATGGTCACTGTGATAAAAATGACCTGTGTGTCTGTGATGCAGGATGGACTGGTTCAAGTTGTAATATTCAGACCTGTATTAGTGAGTGCATGAATGGATATTGTGATAACAGCACAAGGCTGTGTGTCTGTGACTCAGGATTCACTGGTAAGGTGTAATATTTGTTATACTGTACCTCCCTTTCTGCCATCTGTTCAACATTTCAGCCACCTGTGTAATTTTTCCACAATTTATCTGTATTATTCTCTCCTAAATTGGCCCTGCCATCTAGGAATTTTGGCTATTTATTGGAGATCAAAGACATTCAGTTGCACAATTGGTCCACATTCTTTCTCTTTACCAACTGTTTACAAGTTGGCAACTTTCTGTGGGGCTATCTGTTAAAATTGGAATAGAATTATTTTGAATGCTGTGCATGGTAAAACAGAACAAACAAAACCAAAAAGAAGAAAAAGGTCTTCTGGTTTCTAAATTGTTGCAATGTACTGCATGTAACCTTGATGGAAATGTATCAGGGGTAAAGCTAAGATTTTCCAAAAGTGTCATTTTGTCGGATGTGCATTGAGTTATGCATGCTGTGTAGACTATGCAGATTCATGACACTTCACAGTTTGTATTTAAGAGTCACATTTTTTCAGTTTGCACAGAATATTGAGAAAGGCAGTAGCCTAATGATTATTGCAGTGCCAGTGTCACTACCCAGGGGTACAAATGGGAACTACTGTAACAGTAAAATGAACAATTAGGGGAACTGGGAGATCTGCCACAGGCACACCAATATTTTCTCATTGAGAAAGACAAGACATCCTCTCAAATGCCTTGTGCAGAAATGGGAGACAAACACCAGCAGTTATGAGCCATTTGGCTAGAAGACTTTACCATGCAGAATATGCAGTAAGCCCTTTACACCCTAACATCAGTATGCATATTCTCCATACTGTTCTCCGCACATTTTCTAAGGTGCTGACAGAGAGAATTTGTTCAACAATCAAGGGCTTCTCTAGTTGATGATGATTTCTTTTTATGTTGTGACCTTAATGTGTGATGCAGGGGTGATGTTGTTGGGAGAAAACCACTCTAAGGGGGTTCAAGGGTGGACTTTTTCCCATCAAGCCTGTCATAAAATGACAGCTCTACTTTATCTGCCTTCCACTTAACCTAGCACCTATTTTGTAAACTTGGGGAACAAATTAACTTGATTATATCTTACTGATCATACAGGTGCCTCTTGCAATATAACAGGAGACAAAGGGCACTGGATACACCATTCCTCAAGGGGCCAAGGTAGGTTTCGAAGTGTTTTCAAACATAGAGAAGCCTGCTTGGTGGATAGGAATTAAACAACTTTACACTTGTTTGCTTTAAGTTTTGTCTAATTGACTTTTCTGCATTTGATTTACAGACCTAATTCAAGGCCGAGCATCTCATGCTTCTGCTATACTGGGTGATTACATGTGGGTCTTTGGGGGCTATTCGTTAAACTCAGAGCCATTTGAGAACCTCGTCAGGTAGAGTATTTATTTTTGCTAATACTGATAAGTCATGTTGTCATACCAAGATCAAGAAGCTAAAGGATGGCTGAGATCTCACGAAGGTAGCAGTGAAATAGTTGTTAGTAGTATCAATTATGGAAAAGGAGAAAGAATTAATTATTACAAGATGGGTCTTGATCTGTTGAGTCAACATTAGTAGACATTAAAGAGTAATGTTCTCCCTTATTTTAAGGACAACTGGTTAAAAGAAATTTTCAGACTGGTAGAGCAATCCTTCTACCTGTTGAAGTTTCAAGAATTCTAAGCATTTTTAGGTGGTAGCAAGAAGTATTACATGCGGTAAATTTTACTGGTTACTTTCTGAAAAGGAGAACATTAAGAGGGAGGAGGGTAGAAATGAAAATATACAGTGTACTTCAAGATGGCACTAATGGAGCTATTCAAAAAATGAGATCAAGAAATAAGTCTCTGCATTCTCTTTAGGTAAAGCTGAATGTTAGCTCGATGGATAGAGCGCTGGACTGTTGTGCAGGAGGTCGAGGGTTCGAGCCCTGGCCAGACCAACACTCAGGGTCTTAAAATAATTGAGAAGAATTTGCTACCTTTCTATAACATCAAGAAATGGTTAGATATTCTAGTCTTCTCGGATGGGGACGAATAAATGGAGGTCCCATCTCCTGCAGGGTTGGGGTAGGAGACGTTAATTTCCCACACACGAGATTACTGTGTGATGGATGTCCTCCCCTGGGGTGGGATGGGTGGGATATTGGGCGCACTTAATTTGGAGCCTCGCTCTGTTGTGCGACCCTCACCACACTCTGGTGAAAGTGATTAAATAAATAGCATTATCCTGACCAATATTTACATTCTCCAGATATCATATTCCAAGTGACAGTTGGGAAGTAATATCACCTGCTGTCAATTCAAGCAAAGGTCCATCAAGGCGTTATGGTCACTCAATGATTGCTTATAATGTAAGTGCAGCCATTTGTGATCAGTTAATGATTGTTGGTAATTAATAATTAGTGTCTCATCCTCATTTATTTTTCTTCTTATCATCTCCCCTTCTCTCCCAAGTATTTCCCTCCTAAGTTGTTTGTTGGCTTTTTGCATAGGCTGATGGTTTATTGACTTGTTGCAACAATTATTTAGTTTAGGTGTGTTTTGCTTAATGCTTGTTCAGTTTTCAGTCAGTCAGTCAGTCATTTTCATACTTTTTTAATGTTTGTTTGTCTGATCATTTATTTTTTCTCTCGTTCATTTATTCATTCATTCTTTTATCATTTATTTGAAAGAGTGACCATTTAAAAAAAAAAAGAAAACTATTATGTCTCTCGGTTAGTACATGCACTTTGAGTTTCTAATTTACAGTTATGATGATGTTCTTATTATTATTTTTGTTTTCACAGTCAACCCTGTATATATTTGGTGGTAGAATAGAAAAAAAAGCAACCAATCAACTATGGTCTTTCGATACTGAAAAACTAGAGTGGGACTTGGTAAAAACTAGGGGACTTGATGGTGATTCTCCTCTCTATGTTGCTGGGCACACAGCTACTCTGGTTGACTCCACAATGATTGTTCTGTTTGGTTTTGGACCCAGTAGAGGCTATACAGACAGAGTTCAAGAATATGACCTAGGTAAAATACTTTCAATTTTGCCCATGCAGCATTAAGATTTTAGTTACTTTTTGTTTGGAGAAAATAAAAAGGAAAATTTTCTATTATTACAATAACTAGATATCACAACTCAAATTCACTTTTTGTGTTTACTTGGAAGTTAGCCCTTTTTTTAACCATCAAGGTGTTCTTCAGTATAGAAATTATAATGATTTAACACAGTACAGCATACCTAGAAAATATAGTGAATTCTTTGGCTTCTTGTGTTAATTTAATGTGAGAAAATTGCTTGTTCCCCTGCTTTAAGATGTATGGCTCAATGGATTTCCAGTTTGTGTCAGTTACGGGGACATTATGCAAACTAAGGACCTGGGGGCAAAAGTGAAACCCATTATGTATAGCAAGCACACAATCTTGTTGGATCAATATTTGTATTTATAAGTTGTAATAATTCTAACATAATCACAAAAATAGTGTAAGTTATTCCCAACATGTTACTTTTCTTTTAATTAAATTATATTTACAGAGACTGGAAAATGGAGGATATATTCAATTCCCTCAGACATAATTGCACCATCATTTGGACACAGCAGTGTTTATGATCCAGTACAGAAGTTAATCTACATTTATGGTGGAATTGCCTCAACTGTTAAGTCTGATGAGCTCTCAACTGCACTGACGTCTTATGATCCAAAAGCAAGGACATGGTATGTTAATTTCTGCACGAGGTATAACAGAATCATGTGCCATGTACCTATTGGGTTAGTCTTAATCATTTCTTTCCCTTGAGAATTCACTAATATTTTATGGGAGAACTCAGTAGAGTGATTGATATACCACTGAACCCTTTATAGGTACTCCATATTGAAAGGCACAAATTACCCCTTCACACCTGAATAATTATCAGTATCCTTATTCTCCAAACTCTTCTCTATACATTTTAAGAGAATTTCTTTAACAATCAAAGCTTCTTAGCAAGGTTGGTGATCATTTCCTGTAATTCCCCTGATCTAAATCTTTGATTCAGCATTGATATTGTTACGCGAAATTGGATGCTACTCACTCCTAGTGGTCAAAGAGTTAATTTGCTTCTTATTTTACTATTTCAAAATCCTATTGTAGGAAAGCTCTTAAGAACAGTGGTGTTCCTCGCTTTCTGCACTCTGCTGTTTTACTGGGTGACCGGATGCTTGTGTTTGGTGGTAGTTCGCACAATGGCACATCACAAAAGCAGTCTGACTTGCCATGCTTTTCCATGGACTTTGTTGCATACAGTTTAAGTAAGTTGAGTCAATTATTTGTACCAGGTGAACTTTTGTCTTATTGTCTCTTTCAAGTCTATCAAGGTTTGTAATGGGTCTTGAATTACTGAAAAGGAAAGTGGATGTTTGCTGCCAAATTGACCTAAAATATCTGGAAAGTATCTATGAAGCAATGAGAAATAAGGGGAAGAATTTTGGGATTTCTATTTGCAAGCTGAAAAACATTTTATTGCTGGACGGGGTCTTCATAGGGTTGCTGAATTTCATATAGATTATGCTGTCCTACAATGTCTTTAGTTATTAATCAGGGTGTTTTTCAATTTATTTTTCTCTGCAGGCCACACAATTTAGCTCATAAATGTTTAACCAGGAATATAAAAAAACTATTTTTAATGGAAAGGTGTTGAATTTTGTACAAAAAATGTGTGCAAATTCTGAATTCTTCATGTAAAATTATGTATATTGTACTCTGCAGGACTTACTTGTAGGTAGGTTCTAGGCATTAATTAATCAAGTTTCTCACACAATATTCAGCCTATGACATTGATACTGTATAATATTTCCAGCCTGTGATGAGTGGAAGAGGATGCCTAATTTAGGACTTTTAAAATCTGCTGGACGATATGGACACACTGCTGTGCAAGTCAACAGGTATAATAGTAATATAGTAATATAGTTTATATCTGACCACTTGCAGCCCAGAGGCTGAATTACAGGTGCAGTGTAAGGTTGAGAACAGACGTCAGCATATCAGGCGCCTCTGGCAGCCGCTTCAGTCTATCGATCTCACCTTCCCACCCATCCCACCCCAGGGGAGGACATCCATCACGCAGTAATCTCGTGTGTGGGAAATTAACGTCTCCTACCCCAACCCTGCAGGAGACGGGACCTCCATTTATTCGTCCCTATCCGAGAAGACTAGAATATCTAACCATTTCTTGATGTTATAGAAAGGTAGCAAATTCTTCTCAATTATTTTAAGACCTTGAGTGTTGGTCCGGCCGGGGCTCAAACCCTCGACCTCCCGCACAACAGTCCAGCTCTCTATCCATTGACCTAACAGGGAGGCGGTATAACAGGATTGCATAGAATAAAATAATGGTGATGACCTTTGGGCAGTGGGAAATGGTGTTTATGTATGATGTTAAATAATGGAGTTTTGGATAATCACATCACTCAATTGGTTTTTTGTGTTATGTGATCACTTGTTGATTTGGTAGCTGAATCTTGTACTTAGGTTTTTATTTTCAATTTTATTTTGTTCATTCACGGCCATTAGCAGACATTATTTGACCCAAAAACAAGGAAAAAGTTTTAATTGAACCACGATAATTCTGAAAAGTTACCATATTATAAAAAGTATATTGTTCTAGCTGTACACCATTGTTTAAAAAAAAATAATAATATTTTTCTATCTTATTACAGAACCATGTATGTCTTTGGAGGATTTCAAGGAGTTGCTTTTAACGACATTTTGTCATTCACTTCAGGTAGTTAAGTTTAATTCACATCCAGTGTTCTGCAGAGTCAAGTTTAAAATAGTGTAAGCAATAACAAAACACAATTTTTTATTAAAACTGTGAGTGAACTTATGACAGAAGAAGTTTTGATGAATAACTTGTCATTTGACTTAATTTAAGGCCCTACATATAGTGCAGTAAGGTTCAGCTTCTAAAGCATCTGTGTAGTGTACGCTGGAACATGTAAATTTTTTTGACGTACAGTTAAATTTCTTCATTTTAAGTATGACTAGTCGTTAACATGCATGTGTTCCATACTCAAGGCCTCTACTTTTGAGGTTTGGAACAAGTTTTTTTTACCCTTAGACTTATGGTCCTTGTGCAAACTAGGATCCATTACAGTATCAGATCTGTTATGGTTATGGAATAGCAAGGCTCATTTACTTGAATTTATTGATTAGCCATTGGCATCCACATCTGAAGACATGGTTCAAGAAAACAAAAGAATCTGACCTTCATTTGCCAACAGAAGATAAGAACAAATGGCAATCAATGGCTAGAGAATTCTAGGAACAGAAACAGCTTCAGATTTTGATAGGTTCTACATACATCACCTTCACCATTATGACACCACTCTAAGTGACTTAGAGATGACCTTGTAATGATTTTTTTGTTTTTAGGACCTTGTGATTTGATTAAGGATAAAGGAACTTGTCAAATGCACTTTAACTCATCTGAGTGCATATGGAATGACTCCACCTCTTCATGTGTTGGGCCAGAGAGTTGTGCACAGCCAATGATCACAGGTAACTCCTTCACTGAAATAGCAAGGTGTTCTTTGGCTGGTTGACCAAAGTATTCTCACATAACTGATTACAAAGGACCGAGCATCCCCGGTTGTTTTCATAGTATTTCAGAGTTTTAATAATCAACTTGAAACTTTGAATTCTGGTAGAGTGCAATATGCAAATTGTGCAATGAATTATTAATTATTCAAGGGGTCTAAGTAGACTTCTAATGATGCATCGATTGAGTACAAATATCCTGTGATATTGTATGGTTGTTTGGACAATTATTGGTTATTTTCTATTGTTTAAAGCTAATCTGGCAAAAGCATTATGGAATACTTTTCACAATCTACTTCTTTATTTGCTTTGCTTTTTCCTCCTAATGAGAAATAAAGATTAAATAAAGTAGTTGGGTAACGAATAACTTAATGTTTTGGTGTGTAGTGTCGCTGAGTATTTTCGCCTGTTGTTTGTATTTTGTATGGCAGAACTTGTAAAAATGCTCAGCAATACCTCTCACCAAAATGTCTAAAATATTTACCATCTTATCCTTTGTCATTGACCAATCAGATAGGAGATAATTTGTTCAGGGTAATAATATGAAAGAAAAGGGTGGGGATTATGATTAAGTTGAGTACATAGGAACTTTGTTGCACAGATCAGTTTAATTATTATTATGTGTGGAGAATTTAACTTTTTCTTGTTCAAATTTAGTGGAAGAAAAGTGCTCAGCAATGAATGGCAGTTGTAGTAGATGTACATCCAGTGTACATGGGTGTTCATATTGCAAGGAACATATTGCAAGATGCATGAAAGGGAAATGTCCTGATGGTCAGGTTTGTACTTAGTAATTCTTTAAAATGAAACAATACCTTTGTGATGGTTTAATTTCTTGTTTTAAATCTCTTGAATGCCTTCTCCTCTTTTCAATAGGAAACCATTGATTCTCTAGCTAAGTGTGCTAAAAAGCCAACAACAAACAACAAATGTGAAGGTTTGTAATATTTAGTCCTTGTGTCTATTTCTTAATCTTGCATTTGATTTTTTGCATGGTTTTCTTGTTTGCAATAATTCTCTTCACTGATATGAAAGTCTTGTGTTTACCAAAGATAAAGATTGATTTAAAATCCTGCTTCCACCCCAAGGAGGGTCATAGGAAATTCCACAGTGATAGGGAGGTCTCAAGTGCCAGTACAGTAACTTAATTAAAGTATTGAGATGGAACTTAAATTCCCAGATTAGCTGAGTGGGGAAATTTGTTCAAAGGGAAGAGAATTAGGGTCTTATTACATGAAATTAGTATTTTATAAAATTAATATGCATATAACTTTAAATTTTTGTAAATTTCATCAAATTCAACCTTTGAATGTTTCAGTAAACTATCTATTTACCTGGTTATATCAACTAAGTTGAAATTTTAAATTGGCCACCATAAAGAGTTAAAAAGCTAACATTTCGAGCGTTAGCCCTTCGTCATTCGCTCTGACAAAGGGCTAATTCTCGAAATGTCAGCTTTTGAACTCTTTATGGTGGCCAACTTACAATTTCAACTTAGTTGATATAACCAAATTACTTTGTTACCCCCACCGACACAGCACCACAGTTTCTTTAGAAACTCACTCCCTTTATTCATTTATCTATTTGTCTCTCTATCCATTTTTCTATCTATTTCTCTATAGTTTATTGTTGCGTGTAGGTTTAAATAATTTTCAATGAATTCCAAACAGGGTAACAGAATTTTAGTGAATAATAAACCATTGGAGGAAGGGCAACTAGTGTAAGACAAGGCTGTTTGATCAGGTAGAGGCTCCATTCAGGGAGATCTGTATCTGTAACAAGGAAACAGGACCCAGTTACCCAATTGTTCAGCCTTTTGCTCTTGAAATGCGCTTTCACATAACATGGGAACAAGATTATTATGCTAACGAGGTTTTCACATGAACATGTAGCCATGGACTGGGAAAAACACAGAGGACCATAATTGGCTCATACTGTTCCACACAGTTGTTACTCACATTCATGCTGCTATTCAATTCAGGAGACATTTCACCTGTATTTTTCTCCTCTCCCATTCCCCCTCCCCTCCCCTTCCCTCCCCTTTTATTGCACCTAAGATTATCATATACAGGGCAGTGGACGTGCAAAAATATTTCCTCTCAGGTTCTAATTGTAAAGAGAAGTCATGCCACAAAGTGACGTCTTGCGAAGAATGCACATCCACACTAAGTTGTATGTGGTGTGAGTCACAGAAGCTCTGTATGGATAGCAATGCCTACACCGTGAATTTCCCTTTTGGCCAGTGCCGTGGCTGGGTCCAAGAAACGTGTTCAAGTTAGTATGCACTTACAGTTGTATGTAGGGTCTACTAAAAATAATTTGTAAGCAGTTTCAAGTGAAGTATAGAATCAAATTTTGTGACATTATTAAGCAATTTGTATCAAAATTAGGTGAAATTTTGTAGCAATACAACAAGTTAAACTTAACCATACCTAGTGCTGGATAGATTAAAGTTCTCATCATTGGCAAAATGGGAGAATGCAAAATGAAAAGTTCTTTTTAGTGGCGATATGTTTGTGGTGACTGTATGGTACTGTTGACTTGCCTTTATCTTGGTTTACTTTTCTACCTGGTAAAGAAGCAACAAAGTTTTGAGAAAAGTTTTAAATTTTATGACCGGTGAAACAGGGCCCTTTTGGAAGACTTAAAAATGCAAGCAAATAGTAAACAAACAAAACAAAGGGGCGCAGTATTTCGTCAAAGTCCTATCAACGTAAAGACAGCACTGACCAGCCTTAGCTAAATTTTAACTTTTCCTAAATTTCAGATGGCCACATTTAAAACTACATTATGTTATTTGGTAATTTTTAGTGCCTTCTTCTTGAGATCCTTGATCGCAAACTTTTTTCTTCAGCATGAAGTCTTTTTTGCTTTTGTCATCCTTTGCTGCATTTGTGTTTCCTTATATACATGTACAGCTGTACGCTGTTCTGGCATGAAGACCTGCGCTGACTGCCATACCCTACCTGGTTGTGGCTGGTGCGATGATGGATCAGAGACTGGTTTGGGGCAGTGTATGGACGGAGGAGATGATGGCCCTTTCACAAAACCAACAAACTCTTCATCGAACCAGTGTTTGGCAAATCGCTGGTACTTTATGGAGTGTCCAGGTAGATTTAATTTTTAATCCCTTACATCAGTTTTGCATATTCTCCATACTGTTCTCGATACATTTCCTAAAGTGCTGACTCGAAAAATTTCTTTAACAATCCAGAGCTTTTTGCGTTGGTGATCATCTCTTTTATTCTCGTTACCGTAATGTATGATTCAGGAATGATATTGTAAGGAAAAATTAGATGCTTAATGATGGCGTGTTGCGTTGAGGAGCACGGGTTATATTTGAATCGAAAATGTTGTTCTCCTCTCTCAGTCATAAGCTTATGAATCCATTCCTTCCTAAACAACTGCCCTTTTGTGTTCTTTGACAGATTGCCAGTGTAATGGACATAGCAAATGCATCAATAAGAACATCTGTAAAAAGTGCGATCATCAGACGGACGGTGAGTTAAAACTATTTATTACACGACTCGGGCAGTCAGAGGGCCAATAACTAAAATCAACCAATCAAAATGCTCTATTGTCGGTCAATATTCTCTAAGTATTGGACCGGGCACTGTCCCGAATGGTCCCGAATTATACCACACTCTTGTCCCTTTGAACTTTAGTCGTATAATAACTCTCTTATGAACCAAGCTTGCTCGGGACCGTACTGGAAGAATATCGGCCCTCGGTCTTTTTTGTACGGACCTCGCTGCGCTCGGTCCGTACTGTCAAGACTTCGGGCCGATATTCTCCCAGTACGGCCCTCGCGCATGGTTAATAAGATATATCTACTGAAGACAGGGAGAAACTTAGGGCTGTTGTCAGTTGCGGTAGACTGTTAATCCCATTGTCAAACTGTTTACGCATCAGTTCAGACTGTTGTGTTGCTTTTCTAGAGCATGTCGCTCAAGCATATCAAATTGATCACTAAAGTCGTTCCCAACCAACGTTTCATTTCACAGGGCGCCATTTGAGAACTCACAAAAAAATGTATGCAACCAGTCTTATGTACGGGAAAATGCGAAAGACCAATTGCTTTCGTTTGTAGGCAGTCGCGTCTGATTGGTTGAAGAGCTCGACCAATCACAGAGCATAGCGAAGCAAAAGTAGCGTTGTCCTGGAGCTTGGTCATGGATTGTGTGTCGTAAAAAACGGAACCCGCATAGCTTAAGTTCGTTTTTAACAATTCCCCCTTTGGTTTGTTCTTTCCCTTTTTTTAGTTACTCTGCATTATCAGTCTTAAGGTTTTTGGTTTCCTTTAACTTTGCATCACAAGATGTATTATTTTCTATATATTGTGCAACTTAAACTGTCGTTGCTTTACTGTTTTTCAGGGCCTCACTGTGAGGTGTGTGCGGCTGGTTATTTCGGTGATGCCAAGAATGGTGGAAAATGTGAAGGTACAGTCAACTGTCCTTAGTTCATTGTGGCTAGTAATAGTAATACTAGAAGACGATCGAGAGAGGTTAAGATAAATAACTATCTCATAATGCATCTACGTGTAGTTTAAGATCCGTTATTCCAAACTTCTCGAGAAAGAACGGCGAAAATGGGACGCAGTGAGGTGTGGGATATCAGGGTGAGAATATAGTGCTACCCCGACTCAGCTACCCGCACCTAACTTCGACATACTGAGGGAACGAAGAGGTATCAGAGTTTTAAACTAGACACTCATTAATGTAATGACATCCTAATAATTTGGATATATCAACAAAGTTGAAATGGTAAATTCGCCACCGTAATGATTACAAAAGCTGACGTTTCGAGCGTTAGCCCTTCGTCGGAGCGAAGGGCTAACGCTCGAAACGTCAGCTTTTGTAATCATTACGGTGGCCAATTTACCATTTCAACTTTGTTGATATATCCAAATTATTTCGTTACTCCCACCGACGCAGCCCCAAACAGTTTCTTTCGAAACTATCAGCCTTTAATGACATCCTAACCCAAATACAAGCCAGGGAACGAACCTCAAATGTTCGAGACACCGGTGTTTGACATATCAGGGAAAACATATGGTGATACCCTGTCCTACGTCACACTCGGGGAGGACGCTACTTAACCTCAACACTTGATGCGCATGCGGTGTTTTTATGTGACGGAAGATAACAAGAATTGGACGAAATTTTTGTTTTTCTGGAACTTATTTTTGTGGATCGAGAACAATCTGCAAATCGGCAAAAACTCTTGTCCGCAAAAGTTTCAGGCGACACGGTAGTGAAAAAAGCTTGATTGACTTGTTCATCTTGTCTTCAGCTTGTCAATGTAACGGTCATGCGGACACATGTGACGCTAAGACTGGGGTCTGTGATTGCTTTGACCGCTGGGTGACTGGGGATAACTGCGAGAGGTAAGTTCAGTCGGGGCTTTTGAAATGTTTCTTTCCGCTTGAATTACTTCATAACGAAGCAATTTTTCAAGGCATTTCTCGGCATCAGTCTTGGAATTGAAAGATTGAAATTTGGTTTACTCTTTTACAGATGTGACGAAAGAGGTACTTCCACAGTGATCGTTGGTAACGCGACAAATGGTGGTCACTGTTACAGTGAGTTGTTTTAATGTTACCGTAGAAAGATTGCTTTTGAATCCTTTGCCTACGTAGCGGTCATGCTTGACAAATCTATATAATAATAATAATAATAATAATAATAATAATAATAATAATAATAATAATAATAATAATAATAACAATAGTAATAACAATAATAATAAATAATGATAATGATGAGGATATTTATCCAGGGAGCCCTGCAAATAATAAAATAAAATTACCTAGGGAAAAAATTGATATTACAATATTAAATTAATTTTAAAATAACTCTACAATGAGATAGCGCATTAGTTACAAACTTTTAAGCTTTGCCTTAAAGAGGGACAATGATTTGCTGTTTTTAATGTAATTGTCTAAGTTGTTCCAGTCCTTAGAGGCTTGATAAATGAAAGTTTGCTTGCCCCAATTGGTACGCACGCGAGGAAGATGTAAATCATTGCTTCTGCGAGTTAGATGAGAATGAAAACTACTATTGCGTCTGATGTCAAATTTAAAATCAATTTTTCCTAATAGATATTTTTGCATCATAACACAGCGATGGAAGTGTCTATTTCTCTATTTATTGTCTAAGTGTCTATTTATTGAAATCTATTTGTGTTTATAGCCTTGTCTCAGTTCAAAGGCAGAAGCAACGACTGCTTGACGAGTCAAAAACAAAAGAAACCAAGAACACAATTTTTTAATAGTAATGAGTCTGTGTCGTGTGAGAGAAAGATCATTTTTGTTTTACTGGGAGTATTTAATACAGTCCATCTTGCGTGCAGTGTAAGCCTGCCTCACTGGAATGTAAAAGCGCAGGAAGACTTTGAAGAGGCCGAGAAATTTACACCGAAAAAGGTGGCGTCAAAAAAGATTTTGTTCAACACCTCTCCCGTCAAATTCAATCGAAGTTCCCTCTTATCCAGACTGAAGCTGAGGTATTCCCCTCATAAACTTGTAAACTCTCTGGTGCCTAAGTGCGCACAGTGGTAACACCACTGCTTTGTTTTGGTAGATAAACTCAACAGTAATTTTGAATACACGTTCAATGTGTCCAACAAGACAAGAATAAGCTTCCTCAACATTCCTACCAAGGTAAGCTGATCTGTGCAGTTGGTACTTACACTTCGGTTCCTCAAAACATTTGATCTGTAAAACTCAAGAGGGATGAAATTATGAATCTATGGATAATTTATTGCATCGCCGCTCTCGAACCATTCCCATATTATTAGGAGACTCCTAAACCCTTTTGAAACTCCTATAAATACTAAACAGTTTTTCTCCCAAAAAAAAACTATCAAGTAATAGTAATCTAAGTTTAATGTCTTTAAGTGGGGCTCGTGTATGAAACACAAGACAATAACCCACCCATCCCACCCCAGTGGAGGACATTCATATCCAACGCGCGCTCGTGGAATAATTGTTAAATAGACATTTCGGTGTGTAATATCGCCGAGTGTTTTAATGAGTTGTGCCATATTTTGACTAGCGCGCAGGGCGAGTCAAAATACAAACGACGAGTAAAAATAATAAGTAATACTACACTCCAAAACGTCTAATAAGTTATTATCCAACTGTTTTTTTGTTCGGCTAATTATTCTTAAAGTGGGAAAAGCAAAGTGTATAGGGATGCGTAGCGGGGGTCATTATCTAAGCAAAATAAATTTCAAATTGATGGTTTCTTTAACTTCTCAACCGTTAAAAGATTAGATTCAATCTAAGTTAACTAAGTAACTAAGTTAATTACTAGCGTTACTGGTTTGATATGTTTGGAGTTTTTTAAAACAGCAGTTGACTTCCTTACAGGACGACATTGATGTGGAAATTAGTGTGAGAGTCAAAGAGGGCAAATCTGCTTTAATGAATTTGTCGTTCAGCTCAGGTGAGGTGATTGATAATCTCCTAATGCTAGCACACGGGTTAAAGTCAAACATTCAATGCATTCTTTAGTACCATACTAGTAAGGGAGAGTATCAATGTTTAGGCTTCTACGATGGACTGAGTTTTTCGGCAACAGCGTGGAGCCATCTCTGTTTTTTTCGACACTAAGAATAGGAAAATAGTCTGCAACTTTTGAATTTTGAATTTTGAATTTTTTTACTATAATATTACCGTAATTCTTATCGCCAAAGGTAGTAAATAAAGGTATTATTATTTTTAGACGAACATAGGTCACGCCCTCCTCTCGATATTTCTCCGCAAGTCACGTCGCCCTCAGGCTGAGTGACCTCGCCGCCAAAAAGAATCATTTCGCTCTAAGTTAAATTACTGAAGTCGTTAAAGATTATCTCGATGCTATCAACATTTTAATTAAAAAAAACCTTTCTTGCTTTCTCTTCAGTAAGACTGATCCTATGTTTGTTGTTATCGTTTTCAGTTGTGTTTCTTTGTTTGTTTGCATTTCTAAGCTTTCTAAGCTTATCGATGTCTTAGCTAAGTTCGACTTATGAAGAGTGCTTTCTTTCCCTCACAGACGTTCGAAAAGAAGAAACACTGGCGCACTCTCGCAAAATAGGCTCCTACGATCAAACTTTCTCATATGGCGCCTTTCCGTTTGGCGGCAGGGACAAATTCACCTTTAAAGTTCACATATATGACATTAAAGGTTTCATCACCCTTGAGGTAGGTCTTGCTTAACTCACTTGGATGAACTTTTTAAGGAGATCCACATTTAGGCTCCGTGTGTCAGAGTTACTAGGGATTGTTGTTTTACCTTTTTGTCCCCTTAATACAACACACACACACACACACACACACTCTATCTCCCCCATATTTTCTTTATCTGCCACTGTATAAACTGACGAACTAATGTCATATTTTTGGAAAAATATTTTCTAGATTTCGTTCATCCAGAGTCCTAAGTTCCTGATTCTCAACTTCTTTATTACGTTTTTCGCGTAAGTATAACTCTCTCTAGCGCTTGGTTTTGGGAGACAGAGCGATTCTTATTTTTTGTTGTTCTTGTTGTATCATCGTGGCGGTTGTGTAATATTGTATTATCGTTTAGATCACCCCAGGCTTGAAGGTCATCTGGTGTACTTTTAACCATTTAACTCCCAGAAGTGATTAGCTTCTAACTTCTCCCTATAATATCCATACATTATCCAGCAAACAGGTGATGAGAATACTCAAAGTTATCAGGAAGATGTTGTTACTTGATCTAACACTAAATTCTTGTTACTGAATTTCAAGGAAATGTTTAGTAGCTTGAGGGGAGAAATCGTCGTTTCGGAGTTAGCCCCTTATTAGTTTGACAACTATTACTTAAAATTTCCTCAAGACATTGTTTATCTTTTTCCCTTTTGTCAATTTATCATATTTAAGAATTGGATTTTTTTTTGAGGTGGTCATTTTCCTCTATTATTGCAGGTGTTTCTTTTCCCTTCTGTTCGTGGTTGCCCTTGCGTGGAAGATCAAAGTCAGATATTCAAACTATGTTATGGCTCGGGTAAGAAACTTTCCGGCGCGCGTGCTCTTGAAAGTGTATGATTTTTTTTAAAAATAATGCTACTAATTTTTGTATGGTGTAATACTCTTTGCTTTACACGATCACCATCCAGTTCTTTCAATAAATCTTAAATTTATTTCCAAATTTATCGGGATCTCTTTATGCAAGAAGGTTCTGTAGCAAGAGAAAACAATTTAAAACCAATGGTTTTGCCACTCGTGGAGAAAATAAAGGTCCGATCCTTACCTGTCGTACCAAGGTTTGTCGTTGCACTTGCGAAGTTGAGCGAGATCACTACTTTTTCATAGTCTTCTCTGACCACAGGTAGTTTAATTCTAATCAGGTAACTGACGAACGCATTTCTTTACTTGCAGCATCGTCATGAAGAAATGAAACTAATGGCCAGCCGACCATTTGCGAAAGTGAGTTTGGCTCTCTCAGAGGCAGGGCAACTAGAAACAAAGAAGGTAGGTTTCATAAGTAAGCTCTGTGTTTTTCTGTTTGTGAACCGTTGCTGAGGGTTATTGCCCCAATAACCTGGCAATTTAGAAGAAGTAATTTTTCCTGTGTTTTCGAGATTGAAAGCGTTTGTCGTGGAGACAGATGTCACTTAGGCTAATGGTGGGATGTCGCTAAAACAGTTCAAAATTGTTTTGGTTTATTTCACTTCAACCTTAATTTAAATTGAAAAGTTGCACCATTTACTCTACCAATCAGATGCGAGCTCAAATACACAATCTTAATTTGGTTCTTCCCTCTTTTTGTTCCAATATTACCTTCGAATCCTTATTGCTTCGGTTTGCTTCTTTTCGTCAACTGTTCACTGCACTCAACTGAAACCGCGCTTTATATCAACATCTTAGTGTTTTTAAGTGTTATTCCGTCGTAACTGGCACAGGCACTTCCAAAGGTATTACCTGACTATTTCCTGAGCGCGATGCATTCTTACACTTATCAGACGTCTCCGCTAGCTAAAGCCGCTTGCTTGGTGAACTCTCAAACTGACTGCCGCCTCTTTTCGCCTTGTTCTCAAATTATTATGTTTTTATTTTTGGTACAGAAACCACTGTCGGCTATCGCTATCCAACCAACGGAAAATCACGAAGCTGACGTGGGAGTGTTCATGATGAGATTACCGGGATCAGAAAATGGCTTCACTCCTGTTGGTCAAATGGGTGTGTGCTGTGCAACCGCACTGATCACGCGTGGGCAAGTGACTACCCAAGGTCCTAACTTTCCTACGATACGTGGAACAATTGTTAAGAGATCTAGTATGGTCAGGACCTGTTGTATGTAAAGATGTGGTGGTCGTACGCCGAATCATGAATCATGATCTGCTCTATTTCGAATCCCTTGTAAAAACCGCACAGCCGAAAAAAAAAAAATTGCCCTAGCATGATGGGCTTGTCGGTGTCTTCTGAAAACAGTCCCTGAAATTTAGAAGCTGTGGTTTTTAAACTTAGCAATCTTGTCCTCGTGTTCCTAATTAACCGAATCGTAAAGGTCTCAGAGGCAGCTGGCTTTGATTAGGGGCTTATTGTACATCAATGAATTTTTTTCCTAGGGTCATCAGAAATGACTACTGTATTTTTTACGGAATCTCAAAGTGAGGTTGCATAAATACACGCCAATATAGATCAGTTTATAATTATTTCTAAGTTACTAGAGATGAGCCTGGTCAGGTCGTTAATTGATTCCCTTACGACATTGGCGCGTATGACAACAGCCCTCTGAAGCTAGAGATGTGAAGCTAGAGATCACAGTAGACATTGTCTGCCATGTAGGTTACCAGTTTTACGCACAAGGTACCCAAGAAATTACTTCTCAGGGCTTGTTATTCAAACAATAAATCATAGAACCATTCCAAAACAAAAGTTAAGGACATACAATATAGATAAAGGGTTCACGTTTGATTCTCGTCTGTGAGATCCTTAAGAACGTGATAACTGCCTAAACCAAGCATAATGTAGGTTAAATCATTCAAATTGTAACCTCTAAATGACGTACTCTGTCGAATGATTTGCTTTAAGATTTCGGCTGTTTATTAAAGCGTCGTGTTCTGACAGTGTAGATGCTATTTCATTTACACACTTTACTTACCAATAACAATATTATCTTGGAAACGGTGAGATTATTGTCTTTACCATTATTAGGGATATAGCACTGGCCTAAATTTTCCGTCCGCTTGACTTTTATATTTGACTTTTGCGAAGTTTTAAACAAAAATGAAACTTCCTTAGGGAACATCCCCACAAGAAATCGAGAAGCTGGCTACGCCCCTGATTACTATTATTATTATCATCATCATTATCATTATCATTATCATTATTATTATTATTATTATTATTATTATTATTATTATTATTATTATTATTATGAACAATACTCAATCGAGTAATCTTCATTCGCCCTCTTCATTTTGAGTTTACTACCGGGTTTATAATAAGATGTATTATTTAATTTCTGACGAACTTGTCATATGCTTTTCAATTTTGTACTTAATATGTTCAACACTATAATTTTATATTCTGAAATAAACGCTAGCAAATGGTTTTAATATACATCGGATTTATATGAAAAAAAAATCTGATTGGTCGAGAGTATTCAATCGAAAGTAGTGTGTGAAGTTGACATGATAAAAGCAATATGTGCAGCGGATGTTGCATTTCTCATGTGTTCAGAATATGCCAAGTTTCCAAGCTCCTCGTCCGTGTCGTATCACTTTTGAAAACTCAAAGGGAAGTGCCCCATTTTTCGGATTTTTTAAAAAATTCACAACAACACAGTCACTGAATTCGGTTTTGGCGTGATATCATGCTCAACCTCCTCCAGTAATCGTCTAAAGAATGTGAGAAAAGGAATTTCTCGTCTCGATCCAGGCACGGGTAAGAATTTCCCTCCTTCTTCCCTCTTTGTTCCTCCAATTCCATGTATCCAAGGTTGAACGATAACCGATTGCGAGTTTCTACTGAAAGCTAACTCGCTCGATTTGATAAAGCGCCCGAATAACAGACCATCCCCTCGGCAACTACACTTAGGTGCGACTGACCTCTTGGTGAAAACTTAAATCAGACGTGTTTCTGAGCAGCGAAACGACCGTACTTTGTTTTCGTCGTTGTTATTGTTTTTGTCTGTTGTTTTTGCTTACGAGGCACCATGTAGAATGATGTTCACAGCCCATTAAATATCCTAATGATGTTTTTGATCAGCATCAAGTAATCGATCCATTAGGACCCACAGATGGGCCAATGCAGCTGTCAATTTTAAATTAGAGTTTCAGTTGCATTGAATAATTTGATTTGTTCTTTTATTCGTTTGAATTTAAAAATCTAATCCGATTTGTTTTAAAAAAAAAGATAAATTTACAAAATTAATTTTCAAACCGAACGCAGTCCTTAATAAAGTTGTTCATTGAACATCATGATAGCAAAAAAAAAAAAGACCTAGCCTAATTAATTTAATTAAATGACCTTTCATTTACACAAGTCATGATTATAATTTGGGGAAGGAAGGACACCAGCAGGATCGGAAGTCTTTTGAATATTTATTTTAATGAACTATCCACTCCGAAGATGTGATTGGTTGGTTAAGCTCCTCATATTCTGTTGCTCTGTCAAGTAACATGTTCGCCTGAAACATGTGCGAGGTCGTCGGTTGACTTTAAGTTAATGCCGAGTGTTCAGCCTATCCAGTGAATTATGGCCAACTCCTCTATTCTTGAGCTACAAATCCAGTCTTTCAATTCAACGCTTTCTCGTGTTTTCTGGTTTCTTCTCATTTCCTTCTCTCTATTGGCACTCGTGGTTCTTGGAGTCATCGCTAATGTAAAAGTCTGTAGCGTACTTGTTCGAGGTCGTCGATTTAAAAAACACCTATCCAACTTCATGCTCTTTCACTTATCGATCACGGATCTGATCTATCGCCTAATTGTTATACCAGGGTATCTAGCCGCAAAATACTTTCCGGTAAAGACCAGGTCAGAGCTGTCCTGTAAAGTCGCATACACGTGTCTTCGTGCAGTCTATACTGCTGTGTTTACAAGTTTAGTGGTGATTGCATTCGACAGGTACCAAAGCATCACAAAACCATTTAAACGTCTTCGCCGTAAACCCAAGCTTTTCCTTTGGATTTTTGTCGTTTGGGGATATTCCACTGTTTGCGCATTGCCGCAGTTTTTCAACGATGGAATTGGTACTTTAACAATCAATCTTACTCATTTTTCCAACTCAACCAGTTACGTTTTTCAGATCTGTGTTGCCACAAAAGAAAGTTCTAGTAAAAGAATATTGATTATATTTTATTTCATATTGGGTTTTCTGGTGCCTCTAGTGTTAATTACTATTGCCTACATTAAAATTGCTCTCTTTCTTTGGAGAAAAAGTCGAAATCGCGTGTTGAATCAAGCCGCCGTAAATTCTAGAAGAAGAGCACTTCAGATGCTTGTGCTAATGGTCCTTGGATTTCTGATTTGCCTGGGACCATCACAGTTAAAAAAACTGATGGAGTCGTTAGGTGTGATCCAGGATAACGCAGCTGTCGCCACTACTGTTTTTATTTTCCAACTGTCGAGTTCCCTTATCAATCCAATACTTTATAGTCATTATTCCTCTGAGTTTAAACAAGGGCTTAAAAATGGAAAATAGTTTCCAGCTCTCGGCAGAAAGTTCTTCAGTCATGGAATGACGGACTGACGGATTGAAAATCAAGATTAAAAATGAGCTCACACAACGATTTCATCTTAATAACCCTTTATTTACACAAGTCATGATAATATGCTGGCAAGAACAACGGCAGGATCAACTAATATCTCATGGGGAGTCTTCTATATTGTTATTTTAATACTGAAGCTATTTACTTGGATATGATTGGCTTAGTGTTTCATCTTCTGTCCGTGTCAAATAATGCTTGTCTGAAACATAGGGGCGTTGACATAAAGTTAAAGAAGAGTGTATTTTTAGCCTATCCAGTAAATAATGTACAGTGCATGTCTCTATTCAGTTTAACTACAAATTCAGTCTTTGAATTCAACTATGTCTCATCTAATCTGGGTTCTCCGCCTTTCCTTAAATTCTCTCTTTTGAGACTCGTGATCTTTGGAGTCATTGCTAATGTAACTGAAGTCTGTCGTGTACTAGTTCGAAGTCTTCCCTTTAAAAAACACTGTTCTTTATGCTGTCTCCACTGTTGTTTTTTCGAAGGATATTCGCGGTCATTCCATTCGACAGGCACCAGAGCATCCCAAAATAATTTCAGTGTCTTCGCCGTAAACCCAAGCTTTTCTGTTGGTGTTTGGTCGTTTGGGGATATTCCAGTGTTAGGGCATCGCCGCGGTTTTTCAACGAAGTATTAATTTGGTTTTTTAACAATCAATATTGCCGATGATTCCAACTCAACTAACGTTTTCCAGATCTGTATTGTCACTGAAGAAAGTCCTAGTCAAAGAATATTGGTTATATTTTATTTCATTTCAGGTTTTCTTGTGTTAATAACGATTGCATACACTAAAATGGCTATCTTCCTTTGGAGAAAAAAGCATGAATCGTGTGTTGAATCTAACGCTGTAAAATCCAGAGGAAGAGCACTTCAACTGATACTTGTGCTAATGTTTCTTGGTTTTGTGATGTGCCTGGGAACGCCACAAGAAAAAAAATGATGGAGTCGTTAGGTGTCCTCCGTGCGGAAGTAGCCCAGCTGTCGCCATCATCGTTTTAATATTCCAACTATCGAGTTCCATGCCTTGTTAGTGCAATAATTTTAAAGTCGTTATTCCTCTGAGTTTAAACAAGGGCTTAAAAATGGAAAATAGTATCTAGCTCTTTAAAGTACCAGAGGCAGCTCACTTATTCCGCAACAATTAAAAAGAAATACGGCAAATCAATGGTGTGTTTTATGACGAGGACAGCGGAATCACTTAAAATCTTTATTAGTGATCGATTAATTAGCCTAACGTTTGTAACGGCGAAACGAATACTAAAACCATGATAACGAACGAACGTTTTCTTAAAAAGAAAACCATCGTTTATTGTTTTTTAATGAGTGTGAACTACTCTTAGTACTGCAGTACTGCTTGAATGCTTAGAACACAGGATGGGTAGATGTATACGATTCGTCTCGCGCTATAGAAAAGAATTTGTTCATGGTTTTAGCCAAGAGTACGCGTATGTCGAGGTATGGATCTACTCGGGAAATTCGGGAGTTCTCATGTTGTAAGAGTTGCTTGAGGCACAACCGAGAGCAACTCTAACGATTCTCTTATCTAGTGCTCTCCAAATTTATTGCGTGCATCTTTACCTCGATCGATATACGCACGCTGAAAGTAAACCGATTCTTAATTAGTATTTGTTCATTACTATTTTGCCTGAGGAGATGTAAATACAGTTTGGATTGTTATGGAAGGGAAAAAGTAATTAAATATCAAACATCCTTTTGCAAAAACTGTACATTATTAGTTTGGGCAGGCGACCATTACGCCAACGGGGAGTTGATCCCAAGAAAGATAACTTTGAGAGTGAAAAGCTGCGAACCGAACCCCTTTTTCATAGGTCTTTGATACATCTTAGAATACAGCTCTAAATGAAAGAGCATCTTTGAAAGAGGTCCCCGTGCATCATATGAGTTGAAATGCCATTGACAATACTTCACCATGTTACGGGATGGTTTCGGCCTAAAGGATGCGGTGATCCCGTATTTCTTCCGTGTAAAGTTGGACATCTCGCAGGCTCCTGTCGGGCACACGTGGCACAAAGAAACTGGGGACGAACGAAAATTCAACTTGGTGACAGCTTGGTGACGGAAACGATGGATACTGGATGAAGACCTACTTTTTCACGGTTGTTTCGCGTACAAGTGTATCATTTCTAAATATTATTGGTATCTTCAGTTCATTATAAATTTCTTGAGGATACTTGATGGCAGGAAATGTTAGTATACGCCGGAAAACGCTTCTCTGTATCACTTTGGAATCATCAGGGTTAGTCCCAGTATGAGGACAACATCCAAGAGAAGTTACTCGTTAGATCACATAGGTAAGCTTGACTTAAAAAAAAAAAATTATAAAAATTAGTTCTAAGGAAAAACCTAAAGAATTAAACGCTGCCTCTTGATATGCGTAGATTACTGAATTGTTTCTCGTCCTTGAAAACACACCGTGAAGGTGGACTTCTGATCTCTCTTATTTGAACTTGTGTTTCGCGACTGCTTGTAGAGCTTTATTAGGGTTTCAGCAGCCATCTACAGTAGAGTGAACAATTTCTGAAATCAGGGACAGAGCATTTTTAATGATGAATCATTAACTTTATTGTTTTTATGTAACGTTGACGTGCTTATGATATGAACATGCTTGAACTCAGAATGAAAATATATACATTAACACCCTTTTCACCCCATCAATATGCATCAGTTTCCTAATTAAATAAATTAATAAATACGTAAATTGAAGCTCCCCCTTAGGGGCTCTTCAGCCCCAAGGTAAGCTAACTAAGTGCTTAAAAATCCCCACTGGCGGGAAGCAGACCAGTGGGCTATGTACAGAGCACAGCCGAGGAGTTGAACTAGGGGCGACTGAGAACAAATCCAGTGAGTGGCAGGGTGGAGGACTTGAACGCGGGACACCGGATTACAAGTCCAGCACCCTAACCACTCGTCCACACCACCTCCTTCAATTAAGTTACTGACAAGGAGAGTTTGTCTAACAGTGAAGAGCTGCTTTAGTTGGCGATCATTTTTTTTTTTATTCTTGTGGCCTAATAATGAGGGATTTAGAGGTGATATTGTAAAGAGGAATTAGATACTAGACACTCTTAAGCTCTATTATCTTCCACCCATCATGTTAGTAATTTACTGTAGTCACCTGGTGATGATTTTCATGTTTCTTGTCAAATATATAGTCAAATATATAGGCCATTAATTTGAGTTTTTTATTTCATTCTCAAAATGTACATTTTTGCAAAGTTTGACCTTAGTGATTCAGAAGGAAGATTCCATTAATTTTTTTCTCTGCCAAATTTGGGATATGCAATTGAACGTGTTCAAGTTATTGTTTGTTGAAAACGCCCAATTTGTTACTTTGTTACATGGCGTCATCCTTAATTGTGGGGTGACCATAATGTTGAAGCATCCATGAGGCATAATTACATGTTAGGGCTATAATGGTCGCATGCAGCACCTGCATTGAACTTGCTAAGTCCTGTATTACCCAGTATAAAGATATTCTAATTCCAGAACTGACAATTAGGGCACTTTGAAAGAAAAGTACAGCAAAGACCTGACTTCCTAACTAGTTCAACTATCTCTAAACCCAAAAAGATTACACAATACGTCACTTCCTTCTCTTAGTGTCCTGTGGCACATTATGCTTCCAGTGGCAGATCCAGTGGGGGGTTCGGATCCCCCCATCAGACCGGACGCTTACAACTTTGAGATTGAAATTCTTACATCAGCAGGATCATATATCACTTTTTAACTGGCTGATTTTTTAAATTAATGAATCCAAGTAAACGGTAAGCGGCCAAGGAATTATAACTTGCAACCGCGATTGGTGGGAGGGGGTGTGGGGGAGAAGTAATTTGCCTCAAAAGAGTCCAACAGTCCTTTGGTCCTCACCAATAATTTTAACTTTAATCTACGGTTGTTAAAGTACTAATAGAGCCTAGTGCACTAGATCTAAAAACTGTAATAAGAGTAACTGCTAGAATTTTTTCGAAAAACCAACAGCACTGCGTATTTACATACAAGAAGAAATATATTCAATAGCACTAACTTGAGTTGAGTTTTAGTTGTGAGGTGGAGCACGCACAAAAAAACACTGCACTTCTACCATATTTGAAGCCGGTTATTAACAAATTATCAAGATAAGTTCAGTTACACTCGTAGACGAGTTAATAAGTCAATTATTACCCTTAACAAATAACAAGCATCAACGGTTAAATCCCAGCGTAGTTAGTCTAAATAGAATTAATCGCAATTACCGTTTAGAACTTTCACATTGGCACTCGAAGTTTACAATCTCTTGACAGTTAAGCGATACATTTGTCGTATTTACATTGACTATACAGGCTACCATTCAAACCAGCTTGCGGTAGAATTAGGCCAGCCTGGTTAGATATTGCCGATAAATAAATGAATTAAAAAGAACTGAAAAGGGTAACGTATGTTATTTTTTTCATCATCAAATTATCATTGTGAGACTCCTCATGAGGTTTTGCCACACGAAATTAGTGAAAAAGAATCGTTAAATAAACCTTTCAAAAGCATCACTAACAATACCTCGCTATTTTTATCTTAATTACGTTTTCCACTGGATCCGACTGTTAGTATTGGTTAAAGATTCTGTTGTTTCATGCAATCAGGCGATTCCATAACACTTAAACTTTCCCAAGGTGTGGTAACCCTTCTCCTCATTTCCTTTTGCGTCAACATCTGTATCCCCAAACTTCAGCTTCTTAACTGGCAGATGTGTCTTGTTAGTAAGAAAACCACAATCTTCCCGCCATTTGAGGTCATTTACATGACAGTTACAGTTGACTGATGATTTTTCACATGATTTGTTCATTCCGCATGCGCACATGTGACTTTCAGGTGCTGCCCCACTCCAGTAAGTCATTTTCTCAGAATCACATGAAACCCAAAAACCATCTTTCAAGGT